GCTGCGCGCGTGGCAATTTTTTTTTTTTTTCAACAGAAAGTATGCAAGCTCAATCTAGGGGAAACCACCAAAACCAAAACTGAGATTTGTGAGAAAGCCAATACAAGATGTATCGCCCCCGGTGCAGGTGACTGGGGGTGACATACATGTCCCAACCACGGCACCACCGGTGTTCTCCATCATGTATCGCTATGAGCCACTGACAAGGTAAGAAATGCAGGGAGGAGCTTCGGTTGTCACCCCCAAGTCAGCAGATGCATTGCGCTGGTAAGATGGCCATCTGCGGCGGGGACGAGAGTCACCATTTTGAAGGAGAGAGCATAACTTCTCGTACAAACGTTTGACGTTCAATTTGAAGTTGTGAAGGCCCATTTGAAGCTAACTGAATAGTATCGTGTCGGAGGCAGATCAATCTACCATTCCAATTTTGTGGTTCTAGCAGATGAATGCTGTAGAGGGGTGATTTTGCCAATGCAAGCTTTATTTTGCCGCTGCCCTGCACTGGCTTATAACCGTGAACCGAAGTTATTGTAGAGGTGGCAACACTTTTTAGTAGCAAGAAATGCTCACAAACAAAATCCGTTTTTCACGATTTGTAAAACAAGGTAATCTATCACGTAAAACAAGGTAATCTATCACATTCACTTCGATACCCCAAACTTGAGCCATTTGCAAAACCTATGAAAGGTCATTATCTGAAAGATTGTTCACATTCCTTGTGGAATATTTCCAATGCCTCCCACTCATAACCTACATGCCTGTCACTTTGTTTACTTCATCTATGTCCTTGTCGCAGCTTCTGCTTGAAATGTGCCAAGATTATCCTGCCTAGCCTATCCTTCTCCGTGATAATAGCTCTACACTTATTTGAAATAATATATGGACTTAATTGAGGAAGGGAGTCCACTGAGCTGCCCTGAAACTCAAAGCCATGTAATAACCAGCTGCACGTAGGAACCATGGAGCATTCATACACTCAGGGGACCAAACAATCCATCTACAGGCCCTAAAGTGAGAGAGAAACATTAAAATCTAGCTGCTCAGATGGGACAGCATATTAAAAAGCGCTTCACTTCATACTTGCTATTGAAGGTGCAGCAATACAAGCAAGACAAATAAACAATACATATAGTTAACACAACAAAACAGACGGAGTGTTGTGCATTAGAAGCGCTTGTTTTATCTAAGCCTGTTCTTGTTAGCTTATCCTCAAGAAAGGGCAAATCCAGAGAATAAAGTGGGAGGGATAACTTTCACTATGTGACCCAAAAGGCTTTGAAGTTAGCCTGGGTTACATTAGCTGCTTCTGTAGACCACAACACAAATGTGATACATTCGGAAGGGGAAAAATATTTGCGTATTTACCCATCTTCTAAGTCGTCAAAGAAAGAGCTGCCATCCCAGTCAAAATTCTGAGTGCTTCTTCTGTTGAGCATGTTCTTTGAACCCAGACACAATTTCTAGGGGTAAGCTACCACATGCCTTTTTCTCTGAACAACAGACCATCTCACAGGGCACAGGAATGAGCTACCTTTTCATGCTCAGATAGCATTTGGGATATTATAATATACTGTACTGGAAAACACTCAAGCTCCTACGAAGGTATGATCTGCTTTTCAAGTACTAAAACCTTCTAAGAAAACAGTCTTCTTTTAAAAGCAAGTCTTTTTCCTGCTTTCAAAACTAAAACAAAACAAGAAGATAAGCAGGTTTTAGTATCTGCCATACTTCATTTCACAAATGTTGGATCATGCTTGCAAAATGAGAAAACTCTATTATAATACAACTGATGCTTCAGATCATTTTTTTTTTTTTTCAATTTCAGTTGAAGAACAGAATTGTCCACCCAGTGAAGTAATATCGTTTCAATCTTGTCGACGAGCTTTTTTATTTATTTATTAAATGAATGTGATTAATGTGTTTTTCTGTGTTATTAAAGATCTTACTGTTTCTATTTCCAGTTTAAAAGGATACTACAACGAAATTTCGGCGCTAATTTTTTGGTCTAGATGTGTTCAAAGTTGCAGTATTACATCGAACACACCAATATCTTGTTAAAAAAGTCTCGAAAAGGAATTTTAGAACGAATTAAACGATTAGCAGAGAGCACCTGGTGGATGTCACTAACGCCTCGCTTGTAATGCCCGTCTAGGAACCTTGACAGCTAGTGACGGTGAGTGTCTTGCCTCCGGCCATGACGAGAGAAGAGGGGAAGGAGGAGTTCCCCTCTTCCCGAAAATGCCTTTTGTGTGTCGCAGAAGTCGCTATTGTCCTCCCACAAGATTATAGAAGATTAACCCGTCACTCAAAATTCGTACAAAAGCAGCCGCTTCAGTGGCTGGAACAGCTATGCCATCCTCTCAACGTCAGCTTCGCTGAAGCTTTGCTCGTCCCAAGACGACCTACGTCACGATAGCGTTGGATGTCACATGGTCTGACTGGGCCTTCTCCGAGTGCTTGCCAGAGTGGGCCGTTTGTAACAAAAAATACAGCCACCAGACTCAAAATACAAACGTGCGATTGTCATTTACAGATATTGTGGATCATATTCAACCTATTTTTGAACACGATGGAAATATTTCAAATTTCGTTCAAGTATCCCTTTAAGGTAGTGGATTATGAATGAATGTATATCTGTTTCCTAGCACACAATTTATTTGCCCTAAACAAAAAATGCACTCTGATCAATCTTCTGCAATAGCGCCCTTGGGTGACGTGGGCTAACGAATATAAATAAATGAATAAATACATTACAGGGTGGCCACAGCATTTCCTACATTGTAAAACAAACTGGAAGAATCGGCACCTGAACACAGAAAGCTCAAACTTTCCCCATATGTGCACTTAGGTGGTGAATTTTACCTTGTTAAATTTCAAGGTATAGCTTCCTTTCCTTTGCGAAATGAGACAAATAAACTTGTCGAAGTTAATGACACACATATTTGCACAAGACTTAGTTAGCAACGAATGTAACTTGTGGCGCCTTCTCTCGATAGGTGCAGCAACCAGACAACAGAGTGTGCCGTCTGGTTGCTGCATCTATTGAGAGAGGGCACCACAAGTTACATTCATCGCTGACTCGGTCGTCTGCGGACAAGTTAACTGTCGACTATGGCAAGTTTGTAGGTCTCATATTTCGCAGGAAGAGGCTTACCGCATTTACACGAATGTAGGCCGACCCATTTTTCAATTTATGAAAATCTGAAGTAGGGGGGGTCGACTTATAATCGAACCAAAGCATTCCACCACAGACAAAAACGAAACAATCGCAATACCAAGAACACCTCGGCTTGTTACAAGTTCAGCCAGCCGTACCTGTAGCATTGCACGATTCTGTAAGCTCATTTTACAAAATTTATTTTTAATGCGAAAGTATTAACTGTCCTATGGAGTGAGCCGACATCATCAGCTTTGAGGCCGTGCCAAACAGCACCTTAAATCCTTTTTCTAAGTGAAGCCAGCTACCAGCTATGAAACCACGTGAAAGCATAGCCAAACGGCAGAAAGTTTACCCGATCTCAAAGGAGCGGAGCAAAGCTGATGGATTTAGGGCTTCAATCCCATTGGCTGGCACGCGTCGACGAGGCAACCCATTGGCTGCTTGGGGTGGCACGCTGCGCCACCCCAAGGCGCTGCGTGTCCACGAGGCAGCGACTCAACTGCTCCACGCCCAAGGTCAGCGTGCCGAGGACAGTGTGCGAGCTCGACCGTCGGCGCAAGTACGCCACAGACGAAAGAAAGGTGCAGTGTGCATCCTTTCGCATTCACAACTCATATGAAATGCTTCGGTGTACCTTGAGCCTATTTTCTGTGCGAGCAAGTACCACTGATAGCGACTTGAAAATCAGCCCCAATGTATGGCGGTGAACGGCGTGCCCAACTCCCGGGAATGGCGGCACTTGCTGTAACAGCCACTCCGGAATGGCTGCTGGAACCAGCCTCAGCCAGCCTCACTCCCCGCTGATTTTTTTCGCACGATTCACGGTTGCACGTCGTTTGATCAAGTACCAAGATCACGCTGGAGTTTAGGCTTTCTGGACAATTTAGCCTTTCAGTGCTCGTTTCGGCCGTCCTTCATCCAAACGCAACCAAAAACTGCGCTGTTGGTTGCAAGTTAGACCCATCGGAGCGGGTGGTGCTCCATTGGCATCTGTGATGGCGCAGGATCTTAACTGTGACGGTAAACTATAAGAGGCTTTTGGTCAAAGCCTGGATAGGTCTGGATGCCTTTAGGAGTTTGAGGTCAGGCGGTCGTGCTTGCAATGCACGTCACAGAAACGCGCGATCGGTCCCTACCCATGCCGTGCGAAGCGATCATCGAGCAAGCGCGGAAGATGCAGTTTATGTGGTCATTTGTAAAGTGCCACACTTCGATGGACGCCGCCGCCGCCATGCTTTCGGAATGTAGCAGTGATGATGACGGGAACGACAGCATTAGTGCGGACGAATCGTAGTCTTTAGTAGCAGAGAGAGTGAAAACGACAGGGAGCGGCTTCAGTTGTTCCGCCTTCAGCGCAAGCTTTCTAGCTTCGATAATGATTGGGCATTTCGTGCACCTCGCGTGTGCATGCGCAGTCAAAGCAGGCCCCAAGGCATCGAGGGCATGCTGAAGGCCGGGCTTTTGAAAGAAATGCCTTGCAGTTCTCAAATGTTCACCGCAAAATGTAACACTAATCTATAATTTTTTTTCTTTTTTTTTTCCCCAATGTGTAACGTGACTTACAATCTAAATTCATACTTGGAACAACTTTGGGCTTTCCACGTGCAAGTCGTCTGGGTCTTGCTCGGGAGAGGCGGTGACGTCAAAACTACGCTGACTTGTTAATGGATGATTGAAAAAAATAGTGGGTAGACCTCAAGGCATCTAGCATTGAGGTCTACCCATTATTTTTTTCAATCAGCCAATAAGAGCTCGGCGTCGTTCTGACATCACCACCACTTTAGAGCAAGAAGCAGACAACTTGCTCTCTACATAGAAAAAAACAAAGAGGTGAGCCGACCTTGGTGTGCTTCTTGTCTGTGGCGTAGACGATGGAGGTGCAGCACACCTCGGCCACCTTCTTGCCGTGGCCGTAGAAGGTCCAGCAGCAGATCTCGTTGCTCCCTATCACGTCCTTGATGAAGAGCACGCGGCTGCAGAAGCGCAGCGACAGCCGATCAAACATCTCCACATTCTTCAGCAGGTTGTCATCCGACGTGCTGCGCAGCAGAGACGGGAAAACGTCATAAACTTGTACAAGTGGCCGTCGCTTGCAGGGAGCACGATATTCAGCTCGGCCCCTTTAAAGGAATTTCCCCTCTTTGCATTAACACTTTTGCAGTTGCAAGCGTCAACAGATCCACGAGTTCCAAAGACAAGCAAAGTTTCTTATCCGTAAAGGTATTCCATAATCGTCTTCGGGGTCCAATACTTTCTAGGCAGAAATTTTCACAAAAGAGCGACTGCTATGAGTACAGACTGTAGACGATTTGATATTAAAGAGGGCCTGATTTTTGTAAACTTTACATTTTGTAAATATTCTTAAAAAAATTATCATGCGAGCTCTACCTCGCCATATGTACTGAATACATAGCGTGCCACTTCAAATCATACAATTTTGTTCATGCATAATGTTCTCAGGAGCCAGACTTTTCAAAGTTTGAGAATTATGAAGTGTGCAAATAGTTGTTTTCAGCAAAGCAACTTGGTAACGAAGTGGAATAAAGTCCACCACATCACAAAATCAAACACATTCCCTCTAAATTTCAAGGAGAATCTGCGACGTTACATGAAATGACATCAAATGACACCGTAACATGAGCGTCACGTGATGCTGCAATTTCCCAGTCAATTTAGCGGGCCACGATCCACACACAAACGCAGCCTGGGGCCTGCTGCGAAACCTCGCCAATAATGGCCATCGTCATAAAAGAGGAACTGTAACGCTAATGATGCATAGAATGAAATCCCTTTTCTGGTTGGAAGGGTGTGGAGAGTGCCTTACCGCTCATTCACACTGGAAGCGGATCCGTGTTCGCAAAGCGGTTGCGAACGCGGTTCTTTAAAGATCCAGTACAAATGCACGCGCACTCGATGTCATCGAGTGCGCGTGCAATTGCACTGGATCTTTATACAACCGCGTTCGCAACCGCTTTGCGAACGCGGATCCGCTTCCTGTGTGAATGAGCGGTTAGACAAGTTCAAGTGGTGGTGATGCCCAGATTAAAAAGATGGCAAATCGTTAGATGAGGCACCCCTGACACGCCCTTTAAAACTCAATCCTCAAAAGGTTTGTGTGACTCGCATTGAAGAACCTGGTGCTTGTTTTGCCAAGTCGTACCTACCTTGTGTAGGAATATTTGTTGTTATGCCTATTGATGAGGAGCTTCACCAGGGGCTGGAAAACAAAGTACATTTTCATTATCACTCAAATAATATCGCACAAACCAAAAAGCAGCTGTGAAAAAACATATTCAAAATATTTTCGTCGTTGTATACCACGAACGAGAAAGGAAGCAGACAAAACATTAGGCATGTTTGTTTAGCAGCAATGCGTTCAATTGTTCATCTACTTCAATTTATCTTTATAGCCTACATGACGTGGGTGTTTTCTTGCAAAATGAAGCTCAAAAAAAGTCTGGCTCCTTGCTGAGCACTACTAATTTCCCCATTTATGTGGATAATTAAGATATATGTAAGTGCACTTGAGATTAGAAATGTGTTATCTTATCAAGATGTACACGTTTCAAACGTAAAAAAAATTGCCTCCTCCTCCGACAACCAGATCTAGTAAAAACTACTTTGCATGGCGTATAAACAATGTGCAAAATTTCCTTTTTTTTAGGTGAAAAAGTGCGTAGTGTTGAGCTTGCAAGTGGTGTCTTCCCGAGTTTATTAAAGGCTCGCCAGCAATCCGAGTCCATAGAGACTCCCGACTTATAGCAATGTCAGAATTATTTCGAGCCCCCGGTGAAAGAATGATACTTAATAAGTTATAAAAATCTGCCAATGGATTCCAGAACTACCCAATACACCGGCGTGTTGTCTGGGTGTAAGCAGTTACAAAGTCCCGACTACTCACGAGACACCTCGTCTGGGACTGCAAAGCCACAGGCAGACAATGGCGGGAGTTGTAGCCAAACTCAAACAAGATTTACAACCCCTACCCGAGGGAGACTGGGTGGTGACCCCCAGAAAAGAACTACAGGAGAAAGAGGTAGTCATGGACTCCCTCTCCGACCCCCCCCCCCCACTTCAGGTTTCAATACATATAATCTCACCCTCCACCCCATCCAACCTCCCATCTCCCTTCCCTAACAGATAAGATGACTCCAGTCAAGCTTATTACAATGGCAGCTGTCAGTGCCTGCAAAAACACGCGATTGTGGGACCGGGCTATCATTCTCTCCCCTCCCCTCCCCCCCCCCCCCTAATCTTTGGCAAGACGTGCTATCACTCTTTCTCTCTTGCCTTCCCCTTCCCCTTCCGCCCCTTGTCGCCGCTCACATGGCAGCAGCTCCGAAGCTGCATCTCCCGCCGCTTCGGGGTTCTGGAAGACTCTCCGGCGCAACTACGGGAACAAAGGATGCGGCCCAGGCGATGCTCGCTCGGTTCCCCCCACCCCCCAAGACACGGCCAGTGCATGCAAGATTCACTCTCCCTGTTCGAGGAGCGAGAATGGCAAGCGCACTGGATTAAGCAGAATAGGTGGAGGGCTGCAGCAGCACAAGACAACAAAGGGCACAGGCTCCAGCTTATCATGCACGAGAGGTAGCACATAGGCGCCAAAGGTGTCACGACCCCCCCACCCCCATCAGTGAGTAAGAGTAAATCTCATAAAGCACAATTTGCAACAATGCAGCAGCTGCCGCTGTCAATTGCAGCACACTATGCGGGGTCGTTTGCAATTTTCTCGCTTTGCCTCTCCTCTAGCGAAAAACATGCAACCGTTACGCAGTCAATCACAGTCAAATGCAAAAGCCTAAATCGGCCTTAGTGCCTGGAGAGCTCCTAAGTGTGCGAGGACGTTCACCTTGGTGGAGGTGCTGATGAGCAGGTTGCCCTCTTTCTCGTTGGTGATGAGGGGCACCCTGCAGATGGGCTCGGTCGAGCTCTCCTTCTTCTGCAGGGCCGCCTCGCAGCTCTCCACCAGGGCCTGGATCAGGTAGTACTTGGCCTCTGCCAGCAGCTCCGCTGTCTCCCGGGCAGACTCTGGCAGTGGCACCGACCCGTCCCGCAGGAAGTTGAGTATGGTGCCAAAGTGCTTGCCGCACCGGTCGATCAGGATCCAGCCTGGGCCACAATCGGATTGGATTCTTCCGACTCTTCACCTTTGTGTCGAGGCGGTCAAGGGAACTTTGGATTATGAATCTAGCGAGCGAGTCGAACCAGACGCGTCGAGCGCAGTATTTGCACACAGTTGCCATGAGTTGCCAAAATAAATATTTAAGAGTCTTGACGAAGCGCGGGTGCTCTTTTGAGGATTGATGTTTCTAAGGGCAACAACCATACCTTTGAGGATACTTCATGCTCGGCAATGAGAACAAGGTTTCTTCAATTGTTGGGTTACAATTTCGACTTGGGTTCAATGCCCCTATCCAATTCGTCCTAGGAAGGAGTCGCCTTGGCAACAAATCTTTGTTTCAGCGCAGCAGTGAAGTCACGAAGAACCCATGTGGCTGAAAATGTTTTTTACTTTAAATTGTTCATCCAAAATATGTAATACTGTTGTTGGTGAAATTATCGTAGCTTCACAATTTTCTCGCTTGTCGCGCGACGATTATTTCAAACACTATTCGTTACAAGTGACATTTCACTAGCCACTGCCATTCAAGGCTTCCTGACTTCTAGTGCAGGAAATTGTACTCCGGCCTACTGTTTGCTCACCACACACCTCATGCCAAGCGCTTTAAATCTCTGATGGATTGCCGCCCCGTCGTGTCTCAAATTTTGATAATATGAGCATTAATTCGTATGTGTCACAACATCCGAAACCTCTGCGGGGGCAATTTCTGACACTCGTCAATTCATGATGCAACACACTGGCATATTCTAGTTAATTACATTAAGACTGACCTAACACATACCACATGTTTGATGTACAAGTCACACTTTTTTCCCAAAATGTTTTATCGATGTGTCTTATGCAATGATGTGCACCTAATTTTTTATTGTAAGTATGAACCATTAGTGGGCAAGGCACAGGAGGCAGGCACGTAGCCAGGATTTTGTTTCGGGGGGGCCCGCCCATGACAAAATGCTGTATGAGGGGGAGGGGGGAGAGGAGGCCCCAGCAAAATGGAAGATTTCGGGGGGGGGGGGGGGGGGGCCCGGGCCCCATGGGCCTCCCCCCTGGCTACGTGCCTGACAGGAGGTATTGATATTTATGACAGAGGAGAAATGACAGAGCACCCACTGATGATCTGCTCTTCCGGAAATCCGAAGATGGTGCGAAGTGGGGTGGCGCGAGCCTGAGGCTGCAGCGACTCCGTGCGCTGTCCTTTGCAGCGCTCGGTCACTAATGTAACGCAAGTACAACGACTTATACAATGGTCCAACTTACAGACCTTAAAATACGGTAGTTGAGACAGCATCATTTGCTCCATGGCAATTTCATAGTGTGCCTTTTTTATGAAATAATTTGAATACGCTTCCGATGCAGTGGTTACTCAGAATAATTTAGCAATAATTCCGGGATGAAGCGAATAGCTCAAAATTACTTTTGAAATAATCAATGTTTTTAAAGGGATACTGAAATTCTGGCACCTATTTTACTGTCTAAATACTGTCTGGCCGCACCACGGAGACATATTTTTGCTAGAAAAGACACCAAAACATTGTTTTAAAAGAATAAGTCGAATGTCATTACATCACTCCGACCTTAAAAGAAATGCTGCTCCGCGCAAGTATGGCGGCAAGCTGCGTGCACCCGAGCCTATTGAAATTTCCCTTCCCTCCTGGCCTATTGAACTCCTGCAGGGAACAGGGAGGGGCAACTACAACGACCAGGTTGTAACGCACCGATCACACCAAGTGGAGGAGCTCATAACCACACCAGTTCCCAAGCAGCTTTGCCCATGCTGGTCCAACTGACGTCACGTCTCCCGTGATACATCGCACTCTTCGATGGCTGATCTTTAAGCACTCGCTGGAAACGGTCATTTGGAACGAAAAATATAACCATCCATTCAAAATACAAGCTGCGACTGACATTAGCAGATAGAGTTATTTCTTATTTATTTCAACTTATTTCTGAATGTGAAAGGTAGATTGTAAGTGTCGATTCAGTATCCTTTTAAGGGCTTGTGGTAGGCCAGTGACAGTTCAGGGTACAAAATAGTGTGCGTGTTTATTCTACCCCACTGACAGACAGCGAGTCTGCATACGTTGATTATACGTAGCAATATCTCATTTGCGATTAACACAAACACTCACTAAACCTGCAAATGTTTGTGTGGGAAGTCATGAATCTGCAGAATACATCTCCTACCGTGAAATAAGATGAACTCAGTGGTGCAACAACATAACAAAATGATGACATAGTGCCCACGGCAAATAGAGCAGTCTAACAAAACTAAAAATAAGTTTCGAACAGAGTAAAAAAAAAAAAAAGAAGAAACCCCAGAAAAGTGGGGATTTGCTTGAGCTGACTGGTCTTATTTGAATAGGGCAAAAGATCTCTGTTGGATGCAATTGCAGCATTGTGCTTGCGTGAGAGCAACAAAAATACACGATGACTCAATTAGGAAAATATAAGCGAAGGAGATGCTTTTTAGCTCTTCTGGGGTATATCATGCTACTTTGGTCAGACGAATATGAGCACAAAATCCATTTCTCATATTAACTGAAGGCCCAGGACAACAGCAACAAACAGCACCGCATCCAAACTAGAGCCCGTTTTGGGGTCTGTAGCTCTCGCCCGAACACACATTATGTGCACCGACGTCCACGAAGCAAAGCTCCATGTCCAAAAACCACCGAACCAGGTGTGGAATGCACGCATAATCTTGGGTGAGGTGATGACCAAATAAGCTCCGTTTACGACGGGGCCGACGGGGCGGTGGTGATCCGAGCTGGCCATGGGAGTGGCACAGGGTGAAGCCCACCCCCAAACTCCTCACCTTCGGAATCGGTGAGCACTTCCATTCGGCCGCTGAACATGGCCCTGAGCATGCTGTCGTGCTTGGTGAGTGTCCCGATGGTGGTGTAGTGAAGCGATCCGCCCACATTGAGCTTGACATATTGGCTCGGACTGCCGTTGATGACAGTGCGGTGGTCGCCCGACATGGTCGACGGGTCGTCGGCGGCGATTTCTTCGGCCACTGCCTGCGGAGGCAGCGTCGAAGCGTACGCTGAATCAATGCTGGACTCGGACGAGACTTCAGCGAACTCAACTTTCCGGGTTTTCAGTCGGCACACAGGCTCGAGAGGAAAAAAAATCAGGCAGCAACGGCAACGGGGTCGCCCGAACCAGAGCCGAACCCGTCCGAATAATTACCAAGATGCTGCCAATGCTACTGCCGCTACTGCTGCTGACTGCTGTTCACCAAACGCAACAGTCAACCATGGTCGGTCACGTGATAAGCCTGCGCTTGTATTTTGCCAATTTGCCCCTCCGCGATGCTAAAGTAGGGCAGCATAATGCTAGATACTAGAAGCTAGGGGTACTCGAGAGATGTTATTTAGTTCATACGAGTATGTTTTTATATTATATAGACGCACCCAAAGATACACATGTACTACCTGTTTATTACTAAAGCTGAAGCGGAGTAAGCCGCTTTACAATAAAATTGTTTCGGTTTCGGCTTCCGTGTTGAAGTGTTAAATGCGACCTTTTACTCAACGTATGTTATAGTAACCTTCTAAAACCAATCTTGTTTTGGAAGAAATAATACGTTCCTGCTGTACAGTACAACTGTTTACTCGAGCTTCAAGCACAAATTCATCAAGCCAGGTTGCCATGGCGATTTTGTGTTTATTTACAAATGGCGAACGAGGCTTTGGCAAAGGCGGGTCTCTACGTCGATGAACTTAATAAGATAAGAATTGCTGATCCAAACATAACGAGACAAACGCAAGAATTAAAGGACGACTGTCACAAGTTCGTCGACAGTGAGTTATTTTTCCCCCTCCTGGCGACATTACTTTTGCTTTTGTGTACGACCAGCACCCAGAACCTTTATAACGGCTTAACACATTCCCTTCTAGGAATGGTAGAATTTCAAGGCATTGTGAACAAATCTATCGCCGTGTCCAACAAACTGGCGATTTTAGTCGAGCAAGAGAAACTAAAGGTGGGCTTCAGTGTGCAAGATACTTGTAAAAACTATACTCTCCCAATTCTTAAAAGAATATTGATGGAATGTTTTTAGGCAATCGGGTCCAGAAACCTGTTGGAGTCTGTAGCAAAGGACAGAGAAATGCAGCAACAGCAACTCCACGCCCTCGTGCTGGAAAAGAAAATTGAACTGGAAAGGTGCTTTTTGTAGATTTCGATTTGCCCTACCCGAAGAACTTTTCACGCAGAAGGCACACACATTTTTTGTTCAACAAGAATATAATCGGAAACCTTTATGCTGCCTTCATTTGCAGGCTCAAGGTCCAACTTAATACCCTGAAGAAGGAAGAGGCTGAACAAAATGAACTGATCGAACAGTTTCTGCTTCAAAGATGAGCGTCTATGCTGCAGCAAGCTTTCCAGGCATCTAGTCTATGTAGTGGAGAGACTTCCATACATATTGAGAGAAAACACCAATGTTGAGAATAAAATTAGGTAACAAATTCTGGGCTTGCCATCGCTACTTTCTTCGTTTCTGAAACGTCAAGCCTAATCATTTTTGTTTTGTTTAGAGGTTCCATGTTTTAAACTGAACATCACAAGTTAGTAAGAAGGCATTTGGCAAGTTTGATATCTCAATATGAAAATCAAGGAAACCTACCTAATTGGTCAACATATCTCCTTGAACTTGACATTCTTAATCCATTTTGAAATCCCAAAACAAAACATCTAATTTCCCAGGTTCGTCATAAACCACCTTTCCAGTATTTCGTCACCACAAAACACACTCACATTTCAACATAAGTTTATGACTGAGATTTAGCACAATGTGGCGTTCGGCTTCTGCCACCTGCCTCGATGCATCAATCGGGCCAGCAGGTACACAGTAAGAAGGCTTTATTACCATCCTTCTGGACTTGCAACCCGACGGCTAACACTCCGCAATGGGCCGACGGGGCCCTTTGTGTTACCCCCATCTTCAGGAAACCCCACCTCTCCAGCACGGTGCGTGGGTGCACGGGCTTGCTGCGTCAGCGACGCACCTACAGTGATAACCTAGACCCAACACACCAGGATCCTCTGCACCTTCGAGACGATAAAAAGAAAAAATTTACGCGTGTACACTCGAAGACGCTGTTAGCGCAAATGAGCCATCCCTGGCTTTCCTCGTTGTCCTCTGAGTGCTAAAGAACTTTCATCAAAATTTATAGTGTTGGAAAGCACTCGGTTGAGATACTGAACTGAGTGGCGAATTTCAAATCCCGCCAGAGCCCCTTCCAAGTAAAACGCGAAAAAGCGCCGAAGTCCTCTTCACGACAACAGTGTCGTGCAGTGTACGCATTTCACACACCTGTGCAAGATACCCCAGCAGCGTTAAGAGAAAACAAAAAAAGGAAATCGTGTAGAACCCAGTATTGTGCCCGTCTCCCTATTTCTATCCCCAACTCCGGAGCCTCATCTCAGATTCTGACAATGCATGAAGCAACTACGGCCAGCGACAGGCTAAGAATACAGTACAGTCGAATTTCAATAACTCAAACTCGACGGGGATTGACAATTTGTTTAAATAAAGCAGTTTGAATTACTGGAAGTTTCCTCTTACAGAGATGCATAGGATGGGACCTGTACGTTAGTTTGAATTAACGAGATCCGACTGTAGCAGCCTCGGTTCCATCATGCACTCGTCGTGCTCCACTGGGCTTTGGCCACGTGCGCAGCGAAGTGCAATGAAAGGCAGAAAGCTCCTGCTCGAAGCAGAGCGGAATTCTAGTGCCTATTTTAAGCTTTAAATGTGAACCACGTACTGGCCACGCAACAGAGACACCAACTTTTTGTTTGGAAGGACACCAAAACATCATTTGGAACGAATAAACTGGTTACCAGATTGCACCTGGTGGATGCTACCGAATGTCGTTACGTCAAACTTTCCATAAAAGCAGCGCCACTCCGCGGATGTACGGCGCCGAGCTTCGAGTGAACAAGGGCTGCCAAACTTGGCCAAACCCGATTTCCCTTCTCTCCCGCTCCTGTTCGGCTCCTGCAGAGAGCGGGCATCTCGAACGGCCGTCGACGCCACTAAATCGCAAAACTCTCAACCATGCCAGCCTCGCCGTAAAGTTAAACACGACTTTACCAACGCTCTAGAGGCGCCGGATCTGCCGAGACGCATTGTGTTCTCCGACAGCTGCTCTTCAAGCGCTCCCTAGAATCGGCTGTTTGGCACGAAAAATATAGCCATCCGTTCAAAATACAAACATGCGATTGTCATTAGATTTTGTTTATAATGTTTAACTTCTGTACATGAGAGGTACTACATTTTAATTTTAATTCAGTATCGCTTCAACCTGTCGGCGACTCCATTTTAGCATCACGTCAGTCAAAAGTTTAACTACCGCTGCTGCGAGTAGGCGCAAGCATGCCCCTGGGCCACATGCTCTTAGACTGGGTTCTTAGGAAATTAGGAGTTCCCCAGAGTACCTAGGAAGTTCCTAGAGCACCCTCAAGGGTACCCAGAGCTCCCAGATTTCCTTGACCATCCTTGCCTCTTATAGCGTTCTTGCGGTTTAAGCAGGATTTTAGCAGATCGGAGCTACTCATTAATGCATACCCATAAGCCTGGTATGTGCATTATCGGTTGGTTATTGGTTAGCAAGCTTCTGCACTGCTTTACTGCATCAACGCCGCGACTGGGAGGATTTTCTCGGCTGCCGTTCGGGGCAGACGGAAGTTCCTCGAGATGTTAGAGAATTCCTGCTCTAGGTACAAGTATGTACAAAATGTCTGCCCCCCCCCCCCCCCCCCCCCCCCCCACACATAAAAAAAGTTTTTTTATTGCAAAATTAAACAATGCATTGCAAAACACTCATTCTCCGCCCAAATGGAGCCCTAGTGGTCCAAACCGGATGCCAAAGTTTCAGAACTAACCATTATCTTATTCAAGAGCCACAAGAAATGTTCTAGAATTTTAAAAGGGAGATTGGCAGCCCACTGAGTTCTCGAAATATGCGGAGTCGAGTGGCGCCAGTTACTGAAAACTGGCAAAAACGGGCATTATTTTCCGATTGAAATTTTCAGAAAATCACTCGCAACTTTTTAATGAAATAACGGTTAGTGCTGAAACCTTGGCATCCGGTTTGTACCGCTACATTTTGGACACAAAACGAGCGTTCAGCAAAGCATAGTTTATTTTCGCAGCAGAAAAAAAAAACAAAAACACTGTACATTTTTTTTTTTTTTGAACTCGCCGAGCACGAACAAGGAGGAGCCACGAGTTACGGGAGGGCACGTAGGTTCCAAAATTTTTTTAACCAGTTGGTCTGTTCCTTTATTTGCGTCTGTGCCATTGCAGCCGATGGGAAGGGGAACTGTAACACATCCTACAGGTATGTACACGCACGCCTGGCCGCGCCGCAGTGCGAGGCGAGGAGGCCCCAGGTGACGGCGACGGTGGTCCTGCCGCCGTTGCTCGGAGGCCGCCACGAACGGTGTACGGCCGCGGAGGGGGGTTAGAAGACTTGGACGAGCAGCGAGGTGGCCCCGTCCTTCCAGCTGGGGTCGTCGGCGATTTGGGCACGGCACATGGGGCACGTCCGTTCCCGGTCGAACCACACCGACACGCATTCCTCGCAGAAGATGTGCTGCGGGGAAGGAAGACGCACGGCCGCGTTTAGCGGTCCACGGCTCGGACCAGACGTGCCCGGCGCGGCTCGATAGATGCGCATTGTAAAACAATGTTATTCTTTCTTTAGGCACACCGTATCTCAAGAGTCGACGTAAAAAACCTCGGTAATCCGCCCTTTTTAACTGTAAAGGTTGTGGGCCCAAACTAAGAGAATGCACTCGGGAGAGCGGATCTAACTCTAGGGGAGGAGGGGGGAACAGATACGGGAAAAGAGGAGATAAAAGAGTGGAAAAAATATATATTGGAATTCGGGTAGGATGGGACAGTCTTAATGAGCGCCAATGTGGCATCCCCATCATGTGCCACACTTTCCTAGTTCGAACGGTGTTATTGTGCTGTACGGGAGTCTCTGCGGCGGAGTGTTCACCGATTTGACTGTTGGGTCTCGTACAGTCAAATCTCGTTAACTCAAACTCTCTTAATTCAAACTTGCAGATAATTAAAACTAACACGATAATTAAAACGAACACCATCCTATGCACCTCTGTGGGAGAAAACTCCCGGTAATTCATACTTCGCTTTATTGAAACAAATTTTCGGTCCTCCTCGAGTTTGATTTAATGAGATTTGACTGTAGCTTCTTTGCGACCCATTAGATTTTAAAAGGTCTAAGACACCAAAATAAAAACATTTTTGTGGCCTGCAACAACGCACTACTTCTGAAGAAAAAAGTCTAAGTTACCATAAAGTCCAGCAGGTAGTTTAAGCTCTTTTTATAAACAAAAGACATGCACTTCACCGCAGGGACAATCAGTGCCATTTGCAGAAAGATGCCAACAAATGGCAAGGCGCCAAGAGTGATTACATCCCAGCACGAATCGCAGCTATCGGTGCCTTGTAATTTGCTGCTCGCTCTCCGTAAATGACAATGATGGGTCTCTGCCTACGGGAGAGAAGAAGCACAAGAAGGCTCACACTATCTGCAGAACTTAATGGTATACATGAAAATGTTACTGTAATCTGCTAGATCTGCAATGTCACTGTCCAAAACTGAGTCACACTTAATGGCAGCACAGATCGTCATCCAGAAAACAATGTAAAAGTCTTCATGGCACTTTCACAATGTTAAGGCAGAATGTGGCAATTAAGAATAATTTCCCCATTTGTGAACCAAATACAACCAAACTTGGTGCATGTGTAGTGTATGATGGCAATACCAGAACAAAAATCAGCTCATTTGATAACTTGTATACTTCCGGGATTATAAAAGCCTGTGTACTAACAAACAACCCCAGATTAGTGAATTAATATGAGAGTATTTCACAAGAGTTTGAAGTTGTTATCTTTATAAATATTCATTCTACACAAAGGAAGTTGTTAGACCAACATAACTGATGTAGTGTGATAACAGGGAAGAAAGCTGCAATCATTGGACAGCTGCGAAGTGGTAAGTACCGACGGTAGAGAGACGACTCGATAGAGACACGGCCTGGGCCCAGCCCGAGCTCGACAGAATATTTATTTTTTAGCCCGCACATTCAAGAGCCAATCACGTAGTAGGCTCGTGGGGGGGGCTCGTGGGAGGCTTCACCCCCTCATTCTATGCCCTCCGTCGTCCACTGTACTTGTGGACGATCTGGAACTTCTTCCCCTTGGGCACATCACAATGCACAGCTAGTCGAGGAAACGTTCCTCGAACGTTTCATAGAGGGAAGCAATCAAACGCGTGAAAATCAATGCAGGGGGAGATCTGGAGACTACGCATTTTTTCACGCAACAAAAAAATATGCTATACAGTCAAACTTCGATGTAACGAAACCCCTGACGTAACGAAGTACACAACCTTTTCTAATCGCAAGTGTATGCACGCCGTGTATTTTTGACCTCTATGTAACAAAGTCTCGTTTGTCGAAATTTCGATGTAACTAAGTTTCATAAAAATTCGTCATAAACTTTTGTGTCCCAAAAGAGATTTTGGGAAGAACATGTGCTGAAACGGGCCCATGATAAAGCGCAAAAGGTGAAACGGGCCGCATCTGGCGAGTGTGGTGTACAGAACGGCCACTAGAGGACACTAGAGCCGCCGCCGTTTCGTAGGGAGGCTCAAGTGAGGGTGGGTGCAACTCCTAGATCGGGGATCACGGGACATGGACGCCATTTAATTGCTAAATTTTGCTGGGAGTCTATGGGGCAAAGGGCCGTGTTCTTTCCTAACTCAGGCCATAAAGGCCCATTAAGGTGCTTGAATAATTTACGCACGGTATAAAGGATTACTTTTCCATAGCCACCAGTTTTGTTGTGATAGGTTAAGTATTTTTTTAACGCGAAAAATGGTAAATTCCGCCATCTTGGACGTTGCTGCTTGTCTGACAACCCTGCCTTCTCCTGTCGACGTTTGCAATTCTCGGAGCGAGGAGGAAGCGAGAGAGGTTGCGCCAAGGCGTTCGTTGCTTGCAATGGGAGGAGAGAGGAGGAAAGGCGCATGGAGCAACAGAGTTGCAACAGAGTGGGCACCTGCTCTCGTGCAGGCAACATTGGCGCATATCCTTTCTCGAATCCTCTCCCTCAGGCGCCGCCATTAAATTGCAAACGCTCTCCAGGTTTTGAGTTGCACCCACCCTCACTTGAGCCTCCCTACCGTTTCGTCCGTCGGCTTCGTTCGCTCTGCGTAGTTTGTTTCAAGGCCTAAATAAAAGCACGCGTTTCTCGTCCTGGGTGATGGAGCTTTGAAGGCGATGGAGCTGCCCCCGACAACGTCCACCTCGACAACTTTCTATAAGCCGACGCTGCTGTCATTGCAACGGAAGAAATGACCAATAAGCGATAGCTAGCGATGTTCGTGGGAACTCTGAAGATGGGGATGACATCGAGCCTGATGAGCAAGACACCTGCGATGTGCCCAGTAACCGTGAAGTGGTGGACGCGATCGATGTCTAGAGACGGTTCGCGAGCACACAGCAAGACAAAGATCGTCTGGCTATGCGAACGTCGCGTGATGCCAATAATAATGCCAAGAGTGGCCCAGATAAAGGTGACGGACTACTTTCAACTGAAATAAAAACGTCCTTGGCGAGTTTTGTGCACCCGAGAAACATTTGCGGAAACTTTCTCGAACAATAGCCCCGAATTTCTATGTAGCGAAATTTCCATGTAACGAAGTAAATTCCGAATTTTACCGACTTCGCTACATCAAAATTTAACTGTACAAAAAAAAAAAAAAAAAAAGTACCAATCATTTTTTTAACAAAACTTGGACGCTGCAGTGAAGAAACAAATGACAATAAACTTTCTTTACGGGAAACAAAACTGTCCGGGAGTCAAAAGCAGGGAGAGCGATTCCAGAGCAGAAAACAAAACAGATTGCTCCCGCTCTCCGACGCGCACACACGCCCAGCGCACCGCCACGCGAATTTGAGCCAGCCTGTCGGAGGGCGCTTCGTCTACCGTGCGGCTCGAGCGGCCAATAGACTATTTGCTATATTCCCAAGTGCCCTGGCCCGCACTCGAGGAATCATGGGAACGGTGTTCCTTCAGCTCCATAGTGACCGGTAATTCTGACCAATTCTAAGGTTACACAGCCCTGAGCGTAATTCAGTCACCCTAAACAGGTCCTTGGGCCTTACAGAGCCCAAGGACCTGTCATATCACTTTTAAATTTTGTCGTCAATGTCAGCATTTTTTATATTGCGCACGCGATCCACCTTTCAACCTGGCTGAGCTGCAGAAATCTCTTACAATATTATCATTTTTGTGATTGTTGTTTAAGCAGGAATTGCTTAAAAAGCCAAGAATTCACAACAACAAAAACCAGGATTTAGCTCGGAGTCAGCGGGGCTGTTTATAGCATTTTTAGTGTTTCTAACTTAACATCAGCGTCTTTGAAGCTCTAAGAAAATTATAACAATGTAAGAGATTTCTGCAGCTCAGCCAGGTTGAAGGGTGGACATCATGTGCAGTATCGAGAAAACACTGACATTGATGAGAAATCTTAAAAGTAATTCGACAGGTCCTTAGGAACTATACGACGCTTGTTCAGGGTGACTCCGAGTTACACCCAAAACTGTGTAACCATGGAATTGGCCACAATTACCGATCACTAGGGAGCTAAAGGAACACTGTTCCCATGATTCCATGAGTGCGGGCAGGGGTGCTCGGGGGATATAGCAAATGGTCTATCGCCTCGCTTGTTTGTGCACTTTTGCACTTTTGCAGTTGCTAGGAGAAATACGGCACCGTGGTTCTCTGCTGGCCGAACTCTTCCACTTTCTGGCGATACCGAGATGGCGCCATCAGTCAAACAAAAGGTGCGCTAGCCATGGGACAACGTGAGCATTCGAAGTGCGATTCTCTTTCAGGTTTTTGTGACGACCCGATATAAAAGAGGTATTTCTTTTATTTGTAATGCATATTTCACTATGACAATTCAAAATAGTTAAGATAAAAACCTAAAAATAAAGTATTAAAAATTTTTTTTTTTTACAAAAATAAACATTTTGGTTGCTGCGTGCCCACTTGAATGCAAGGATGCAGGCGAGCTGCTTGTCTCCTCATACCATATGACTAGATCGACTCAATGCTCAAAAAACAACATTTTTACGACTTGCCTAGCGTAGCACTCACAGTTTCCGAGTGGCTAATAGCTATAAGTTTTGCAACTTGTTAGTAAATTAGAAGAAAACTTCTAAAAGTCAATGATGTTTTTTTTTTCTACCTGGCACTATACTGGCTTCACTAGACACAAGCATTTCGTATAAGCAACTCAGTTAGGGAACTGTCTGCATCTTTCTTGAAACACTTCAGAACATTGTAAAGAGCAGTGCTCTTACAGACTCCTGGATAACAGAAACAAACCGAACCCTGCAGGTTTGTTGTTGAGGACGGAAGAGATGGTGGGACCAACTCCGAGCTAAGGTGAAAACATTGTTTTAATCTCGTGCCGTTAAGCGCTGGCCAACAAGAAACTTTGTAATTTTTGTCGGTGTTGACACTGGACCGCCACAAACCCATTCAGTTTACAGCAAGTATCAGGATAGGATCCCTCATAAAGAAAACCAATTTTGAGGGTCTGTAAAAAGTTTACAGAGGTTCTACCACAGATCTCCGAGCGGATTTTGGCTCTGGAGCCTTTCCACTAAAGCGATCCCAATAATATTGATACTCACATTGCAGGCCAGGACAGTGGGACGCTTGAACTCGTCCTGGCAGATGGCGCACGACTCTCCCGCGGCCTTGGTCTGGTCGGCAGTGGGGGTCCGCCCGTAGTTCTGAACGATCACAGAAGTCGCAGAAACCAATGAGGGATAGGAACGATTCAGTTTACTTTCACAACACTAGAATCTCCAAGAGTCCGACTGTCAGTGAGTATATATTGGCCACATATCCAGTCGAACCTCGTTATATCAAACAATGCGAGAACAGTGAAATAATTTGATATAACCAATATTTGATACACAAAATCACACCAAAAACGCGTCAGAGTGCAGCGCGATTTAATCACTAAAAAGCTAGCGGCAAAAATGACTACTCATGTGAAGCGTGAAGGTGAGCTATTTATTCCGGCGAAAAAAACTGCCGCAGTGTAAACTGTTTCTTGGAGTTGAATGCAAGCATTGTTACGGCCCGCTCCACAGTCTTCAAGCAGTCCACCGGCACCAGACCACTACAGTCTATTGCGCTGCAGTAGCGGCGTAAAAGCACCAGTCACAGCTTTGCCCGAAATAGGGAGCGGAGCGAGGTCCTTGGCCTTTGTACGGCCAGGTTCGGTAGCCATTACCTCAAGCCAGCTCGCGGGTGACCTCCACGGCGATTTCTACGTCGGTTAGTTCAGCCGTGGTCAATGCTTATTTCTTCACTGACAAAATCGTCGATGGTCATGCTCTCAGGTACAGTGGCCACAAAACGTAAAAATTTGCTCCACGCATCGTTGAGCGCCGGTTCTTCAAAATCGTCAGACGCTCCATCTTCCTCGGGCGGTTCCTCGGCACTGACGACAAATCCAACGTGCCGAAAGCAGCTGGCGATCGTCTCCTGTTTTACATTCTCGTATGCAGCTTTAAGCATTTGTATGCTACCCAAGAGGTCGATGTTGAGGTTTTGGCCCATTCACGGCTTGAGGAGCAACATTTTGACCACTCTTCGCTTATAGCCCCAAACGTCCGAATGCACCCTTTGCAAGAAATCGCAAAAGCCCGCACGTGCCGCCCGACAAATAATGGGAGTCCTTGGTACGCCCCACTTATCGTCTTTCCTCCCGCAGGCGGAGGTTACCATGCAACAACGTTCGTGCAGCCGAGAGCACTTTATTTCATCCCTCTCCTTTGTACCAGCTCTGCCGTCTGCTGCACCAATGCTTTGTCGAACCTGGCCGAACCCCACCATGTTTGCAGTGAAAAGTAAGTGGATTAAGTGACACTGCCAGACGTGAAGGTAAGTTACGACGAAGAACGTATTCAAAGAAGTGAATAGCTTCACCCGTTGAGATGCGTTTACGCTGCCACTGCGCCGCCAACGATGTGCGACGTTCCGGCGGATGGGCGAGATGGCTGCTGAAAGTTGCTGGCGCTATTTGCGCGCAGTCGCGGAGGTGCAACGAGAAAGCGCGTGATCTGTACCGAGGGTTCCCAAAATCCCCTGCCGTCGTGGCGCCGTACGTTTTGCAATAGGTCTATTATACCCTGATTTAATGGCAGTAGTTTTGACGTAGTGTTCGGCGGCAGGAACTCGAGCTCCACGTTCTTGAGCGGCACGTTCGGGTGGGGTGCCGAGCAACTGTCGACAAGGAGGCATGCCTTGTGACCCTGGTCTGCAAGCTCCGTGTCCCAATCTTCATGCCATTTTTCGAAGATATCGCGCGTCATCCGTGACTTTTCGTTTCATGTGTATGTCCGAGGAATATTGCAGCGGTTGCGCATGCAGTTCAGGGTCTTAAACTTGGTGATGACAAGGGGTCGCCGTTTAGTGCTGCCATCCATTTTGGCAGTTAAGAGAACTGCGATGCGAGCTTTGTTTTGCTTACCGCCGCGACGCTTCCCCCTGCAGGTGTCGCACGTTTGTCGCGGAAGAGACTGTCAGAACAGGACAGTCTTATAGGCGTTGAAAATTTGCTTTGGCTCATACAGTAGACTCTCATTAATTCAAACTCCAGGAAGTCACAGATTTTAGTTTTAATTACCAGAAGTTTAAATTATCAGAAATTCATCCAAATATGATACTAGACAACATTATGATTTGTTACACATACAAAGCAGATTTTTGCCAGTTTCCTCTACATAGAATAATTATAAGCAAGTACAGGCATAACACATTGGGGAAAGAACTGCGACGTTAAGTTTATTCATCCGGTAAAAAAGTTGTTGATTGTGGACTGCTTAGTCAGTACATCAGATCTCAAAACAAAATTTTCAATACCAGCCAACGCAAGTAGCTCTTTACGGGACTCTTCCTATGCAGACAGAAACTTCCGGAGCTGACGGCTGTGACAGTTGGTAGTGGGTCATCCCTTTCTTCATCGTCATCTTCACTCTCACTGCTGCACTGTGCTGGCATTACTTCCTTATGTCCTCTAATGAGTCATTACGACAAACACACACATCGTCGTCAAGACTAGCATATTCCGCCAGCTCAGCGTTCACATTATGGCTTCAAGGCCAGAAAGCATGATGCCAGTTCCTAATCCTCAATGTCGTCTTGGTCATCATTGCTAGTCTTGAAGCACATAATGTGAACGCCGTTTTCCGCTAATGTGTGCCCGCTTGAGCCCCGTTGAGTGCGCTTCTTTCCGAGCACTGGTGCACTGCGGAGAAGCAACACTCGCGAAAACAAGCTCCGCAGGTATTGCTTCTCTGCGGTGCACCGGTGCTCGGAAAGAAGCACACTCAACGGGGCCACGAGAACAAAAAATTATGAATTAAGCGAAAACGCCGTTCGAATTAAGCGGCTTATAAATACATTAAAAACATAGTGGGACAACCAAAATTTTCAGATCTGTTTGAATTAATCGAAAGTATGAAATATCCGAGTTTGAATTATCGCGAGCCTACTGTACTTTGCGAGAACATTGGGTCAGTCTCGTTCGTGCCGCTTTTTTACGCTCTTAAGCGCGAGACACATGCGCGTCAAAACTGTCCGATCCGGCGTGCGAACTGTCGGGAAGATGGCTGCTCCGAATCGCCGCACAGGACGGTTCGCGACACATGGTTTCCGACGCGTCGTTGCGTCGCTCCGTTCAGCTCCGCCCAGTTTCGGGTGTCCCTCTACCAAATGGGTGGATGGATACTAATGGCTATAGTTATAACGGGCGGTAGCTCGCGCCACCCAGCCTAGAAAACTAAAATACTTACCTCGCCCTTCTTGGTTTTTCTGGCTTTAAAACAAACATAATATTTTTATTACCTTCTATTAAAGTGTGCGTGTGTGAAGATTTTCCGTGAGGCTATTTTTCTGCTCAAAATCACTTAATTGCGAAGGGCAGCAGCGGACCTTAGAGCCATCCCAGCGAAACGAGCACTGCGTAAAAATCACGTGACTACGTACTGCGCACATAACTGCGTCTCTCCCGAAGCTCGCATGACATTGGAATGGCTCGTAGCGTCCGCTGCTGTCCATCGTAAGGTGAAACGGAGTATATTCGGGTTTCGACGGGCTCGATCGGTCCCAGAAGGCCGGCGTGCTTTGGCGCTCGAAATCAGCAGCTCTTTTTGTGCGCGCGGGAAAACTCGATGGCGTCCGTTTCCTTCACAACCACGACTCGCCGCGCGTGACGCACCGCGCACCGCCACATCCACTTCTCCGAACCACATTGCGCCTCCTCGCCCTATCGGTCCGAAAGTCACTTGACAACATGACCTTCGACATCCGTGCTCATTGGCTGCGGCCACTGCGGCCTTCCGAAAATCGGACCGTGCGTGCGGCGATATCTGGCAAGTTGGACGCATGCGGGCACCGGACGGAGCCCCCGTCCGACGCTCCGGTGCGATGAAAACCCTCGCCCTCGGACGTCGTTCCGGCGGTTCGCACGTCGGATCGCATGGCTTTTTCGCGCATGTGTCTCGCGCTTTAATATTAGCGTCCTCGCTTCCTCCCGAGACTGTCCTCCCGGCAACGTCGTAACGGGCTTTGAAATGTCATAGGCACCCACTACTTGCGGCGAAGTTCTCTGCTCGATGGACAAATGCGAAGTCCTTTGCTTTTTGTCGAAGCATCGGCCCCGACGCAGGAATGTTTTGAGCCCTCGCATCCATAAACCACTCATGGAGCGATCTCTCTACGTTTACGAAGGCTGGTGCCTGAACACTGCGAGCACCCGAGCGCTCGCTCTGTTCGGCCTTCGATTTGACGTCGCTTTTCGTCTTCAGCGGGACACTCCAAGCGCTTCGCGGTACATTGTACGCTTTGACAACGACAAACCTCTCTCCTGTTTCAACACGGCAGACGATCTCGAGCTTCGTCGCAAACGTCAGCGATGCACCTTTCTTTACGTTTGTTGCCATCGCTATGCCACACACGGTTGTTGCTGGACGCAGCATCCGAGGAACGAAAACACAGGACTGCGGGAGCTGTATAACAAGCGCACGAAAAGAGCGATACGATCGAGCTGACCGAGCCGATCCAAGTCGGAGCACCAAGCTGCCTGCGTCTGCCGCCGAGTCCACACGGTGCTCCCGGCACCGTAGGCATAAAGCTTTAAGTAGGCACGCGCTTGTAAAAGCTGCAAATGCCTGCTGTGCCACCGCTATCCTTCGAAGTGTCGCGGGAAAGCCTGCCGCCCGTCTCCAGAGTGCACGCCTTCCGGTGCTGAGGAGTTCGATATATTAATTTTTTAACCGACCGAGTTTTACATAAAAAATTGAAAATGAGCGTAATTCTCGTGACAATTGGATGACGATTCAATATAAGCAATAATTCTATATATACATGTTCAATATAATAAGGTTCGACTGTGTTGCCTATGGCACGACCACGCAGCCTTTTGTGCCGTGATGCTTGCCCAAGTAACCGAGTAATGTTCAACGTCCGCAGGTGGATGCTCCCAAACTCATTGGAAGCTCGAAGCTCATATTACACACGGCGCACAACCATCCGCGCAGAATCATAAATAGCACAAGTTCTTGCAAAGCCACTAGTTCTGAAAAGAGATGGTAGTATTTACCTTAGCTTCCTGTCACTGTTTTTATTCAACCCCAAACAACTGAACTTTGAGGAAGTCTCAATTTTTGCAATTTTTGTACATTTCCTAATTTAAATAATATACTTTTCAAATCAATCAAAAAAAAGAGAAAGAAATCATTCTTGCACTGGTGGCTGCATACATCTGTATTCCAAGTGCTGGCTATTCATTTCGAGAGAGTTTGAGATCACCAGAGCTTATCATTCCCTGAAAATCTTTTGGTTGTACTCGGAGACACAGTATAGCTCTCAGAATGCCTTGCTGCCTCCTTGGGAGATAAAATGCCCTACTAATGTGCCCCTCCATCGGACACATTCCCTGAATATTGTATGTGCACGACGAAAAGAAAGGGAAATACGCACCACATTGGACAGGACCTGTATCAGCGACTTCTTCCAGGCCTTGGTCTTGGCCACTATGTCGGAGCACTGCGACAAAAGGAGACTCAGGCTAAAAACCTCATCCACAAACTACAGAAAAAGGAGCTAAAGGGAGAGTCCCTGAAAAACTAAAGCCAATGTTACTGGCTACATCCATTGGCTACCACACTGCAGTTGTGAATAGCATGAACTACACTGTTTCACCATAATGTATACGGCAAAGGGCATAGGGTTAGAGTGGTAAGAACAAGCAAAACATCCGAGATAACTGAACTGCAGGGACCCATTAGATGTGACTATATATTTTTATTAAATTTGCCTCATAAGCAATGTGTTAGTATAGTGGACAATTTGGATGTAATCGTGGGGCTGTGTCTCTGCCGGTGTTCCCTTCGACAGGAGTTTTTAAACTTCCTGACCTCCAGGAACCCTGCCTCACTCGATGATTAGCCAAAGAAACCTTCCCGGTTTCAGCATTAAAGGGAAGCTGAAGAGGTTGTTGAAAACGAGTTAGAGGTGAATTCTAGAATATTTTTATGCAGTGAATCTGAATATCACATTCTTTTCTCTCGAAGATGTAACTAAATGCGAGAAAACACGGCAAACCTCCGACCAGTCGTTACGTCACACCCAGATCCTTCGGCCGCCAAGCGCGTGTCGCATGGCGGCTGGTGTTTAAGGGGGGACACAAGCCTAAAATGCTCATTTTTCGGAAAAAAATGCGTTTTTCAAATGTTGCATTTTTGGCACCTCTAATTATTAATGAGTGATATGGCGAAATTTGGTAAACTTCCGCACCGTAATTACCGAGAAAATAAACATTTTTAACACCTCCGTGGTGCTCTCAGGTGCGGCGCGCTCGCGAAAGACGCGAGGAAAGCACTATTTTTCTGATTTTCAATACGGTACCGTGCCGCGCCCGCGAGGCCTAGCGTGGCATTCATGCCCTTGTTGCAAAGGTCGTTTCTCGGACGTTTTAGTAAAATAGTAAACACGGGCCGACGGTATGTGTGCGCCGAAAGAACCCCGTTGCAAAAAACTAGAACCCCGTCGCAAAAGTAGGGGAATTGACGGAACTCGTCTTCCTATTGATCGGAGAACCGAAACTAGAGCCACGATTGGTTTTCAGCCATCACGTGTTATCTTTCGCGGCGGTTCCTGCTCCAGACCACGTTTTATCGTCGGATCTGCTACATCTTGCTCTTTCGCTTCAATCTTATCTCATCTTTTTTCGTTCCGAAAATGACGCCGAGTAAAGGCTACGTGCATGAAAGCTTCGGCAAGCGTTCTTGGTTCACAAAAGTCAAGAGGCACGGCGGGTGGCCGGCGTTCTACAGCTCCTGACACGGCGATGTCGGCGACGTTGCCCAAACCATCGCGTTCGTCACGGTCTCCGGAGTCCTTTTCTTCCAGTTTGTCGCATCCCGAAAGTGGCTCAGCATTGACGGAAGCAGATGAGTTGACGACCTTCGAGCAGAAAATCACGCTCTTGGACCGACCTGCCGACTTGCCAAAACCAACTGACGATGTTCGCGACGCAGCCGACGCGGCGCTCAATGAATATTTTTTCGTGGATGTCTGTCGTGAAGACATTGGTAAGTGCCTTGCTGTGTCCCAACTGCCATGGAAATGAACTTGACTTGAAGGAAAGTGGCGTTGGAGCCAGTTTTCAGTTTGTCGTCGTGTGCAAAGCTTGTGGGGACATCGTGACGACGCCCCAGTCGGCGACTGTCGGAGAGACCCGGCAGAGCGAGCCTGCTGCGCGCCTTTGTGTCGTCGGAAAGGACTGCGGCATCAGCTTCATGAAGCTGAAGAACCTTCTCAGGGGCATGAATGCTCCATCGCCGATGCATTTAAGGACCTATCAGAACACTGCAGAAAAGGTGCACGAAGTGTCCATGGCAGCAGCGCGCCGTGATGCAGGAGGCAGCGACCGCAGTGAGAGGGGCTCAGATTTCTGAGAATGGAGAAGGCCATGTCAACAAAGCAGATGACTTACTCGACGTCTGTGTCAGTTACGACGGTAGCTGGCAGAAGCGCGGCCACACGTCGAACTTCGGGGTTGGCGCAGTCACTGAAGTGAACACCGGTTCGGTGCTTGACTTCTCCGTTCACAGCAAGTACTGTCACGGATGCAACCTGGGCCCAAAGTAGGACGCAGAAGGCTACCAGACCTGGATGGAGTCTCGTTAAGATGTTTGTCAGAAGAACTTCGGAGGACCCTCAAACGCTATGGAGGTTGCGGCTGCAAGTCATCTCAGCAGATCTTTGGAGCTCCACAAGCTGCAGTATGTCACCACGCTAAGTGATGGTGACAGCAAGGCGTACACGAACGTTGCTGGTCTTGGCGCCTATGACAACGACATCCAGAAGGAAGACTGTGTCAACCACGTGGCCAAGAGGATGTACAGTGGCATGGAAAAGTTGAAGAGCAAAAAAGGCCTTGGAGGGAAGGGGAAGTTGACTAACGTCATGATGAGAAAGCTAACAAACTATTAAGCGACTGCTCTGAAAGACAACGCCCCTGACGTCACCAAGATGCAGAAAGGTGTGTATGCAAGTCTCTTGCACTTCCACTTGTGGGAGCCACTGGTTTCCCTCCCCCGAGAAGGCGTAAGCCGCGGACGTGCCGGCCGGAGTTGTCTGGCTTCGAGTTGGCTTGTCCCGTATCGTGTTGGAGAGAGTGCGCCACCTTGCTGGCCTACTCTCTCGCACTCCTCCGCGTGTCTCCCCGATTTCGGGGGAACAGCGATATCGCGTGGGAGAGAGTCGGGCCTGCCCTCCAAGTGGACGGCCGTGTGGTCGAGGAGTCCTAGATTAGACTCCGGGCAACGGGTCGAGTCGCGGCGCGAGCTCGTCCGACCGGCGATGACTCCACGTTAGTGATTCCCCGGGCTCTGACAGTCGGCGTCCCCACAACCTGTGGACGTCCGTCTGCCGAGAGCCCTGGCCCCGAACTCCTGCGACGATGGGTAGCGGCGTGAGCTCGCCCGGCCGGCGATGACTCCGCTCCCAATTACCCCTTTGGCTCTCAGGTCGGCGGGCGATGCGGGCACACTGTGTCCGCGGCTCGCTTGACCGCAGTGTCTTGTTGGGGACCCCTGGTACTCAATAAACGCTGTTGGATACCGGGATCATCGTTGTTGGCATGGCGTTGGCCGAACCCGGCGCGGCGACCGCCCTCGCTGGTAGCCGTCGGCCGCGCGGTGGGACGGGCATCGGATTTCCCCTTTGAGCACCGGACAGGTCCCCGGACGTAAAGGTGCGTAATCCTCCCTCCTTTTTAGTTCCCACCGGGGGGGGGCACGGAGTCGGCAACTGTCAGGAGTGGGGTGACTGTTGCTAGCGACGCCCATCACCAGAGGTGACAGGTACGATAAAACGTCTCCTGCGGCGAGACATGAAAAGAGAATAAACAAATCGTGACCCACTAAGGTTTCCGGGCTGGCTCTCGGATGTGGTTACCAAATCCGGGCACCCACGGGATTTGCATCATGACGGCACACAAAGGGAGCCGGCCTCCCCAGGGAGGCTTCGCCATCTTGGCATGGCGCGGCAGAGCAGTGCCACGACAACGATAGGTGCCGTGGCCCCCACGTTGGGCGCCATTTTGTGGGAATTACGTAAGGAAGGAAGATCACGCACCTTTGACGTCCAGAGATCGGTCCGGTGCTCAGAAGGGGAAATCCACTACCCGTCCCACCGTGCGGCCGACGGCTACCAATGAGGGCGGTCGCCGCGCCGGGTTCGGCCAACGCCATGCCAACAAAGATGATCCCGGTATCCAGCAGCGTTTATTGAGTACCAGGGGTCCCCAAAAAGACACTGCGGTCAAGCGAGCCGCGGACACAGTGTGCCCGCATCGCCCGCTGACCTGAGAGCCAAAGGGGTAATTGCGAGCGGAGTCATCGCCGGTCAAGCGAGCTCACGCCGCTACCCGTCATCGCAGGACTTTGGGGCCAGGGCTCTCGGCAGACGGACGTCCACAGGTTGTGGGGACGCCGACTGTCAGAGCCAGGGGAATCGCTAGCGTGGAGTCATCGCCGGTCGGACGATGCTCGCGCCGTGACTCGACCCGTTGCCCGGAGTCCAATCCAGGACTCCTCGGCCACACGGCCGTCCACTTGGAGGGCAGGCCCGACTCTCTCCCGCGTGATATCGCTGTTCCCCCGAAATCGGGAAGACACGCGGAGGAGTGCCTACTGATGAAGCACCATGACATGTCGCTTGCCCTAGCGGAGAAGACTCGTGGTGCCACTACAACCGCCACAACGCGCTGGTTGCTGCTGGGAAACCGTCTGTGCCATGCCCACATCGCCCAGCCTTCACGAGGGACATTGCAAAGAAGCTGGTGCCCATCTACAACCGGCTGTCCGATCGGAGCCTGCTTCAAAGTTCAAAGGTGCTGCAGAATGAAGACTCAGAATGCCAATGAGTTGTTCAACGCACTCATCTGGAAGAGATGCCCCAAGAAGGAGTTTGCATCGCTGAGGGCAGTGGAAACTGCTGTGGCCATGGCTGTTCTTGAATACAACTTGGGACCTAAGGGCTTTGAGAGGATCCTCAATAAGATGGGCATCTGCCCCGGAAGCCACCACGAGGAGCACACCAAGAACGCAACCCAGCAGAAGATCCTGAAGGCCAAGGTGAAGGCACTGGACACCTCTAAGACCGCCCAGAAACGTCGCAAGCTCGAAGCCATCGCAAATGAGCAGAAGAGAATCGAAGAAGAAGGACCGACATATGGAGCTGGAGAGTTCTTGGCGACATGAAGACACCACAGACAATTTTTTTGAGGAAAGAAGCTCAAATAATAAAAAAAAGTGGACTTGAAATTTCAAATGCGTTTTTCTCAGTTCACCTTTTTGGCAGCAAATTTCACCTTAATAAAACTATCGTTTCAGTATGAAACTACCGAGAGACTTAATATTTGCGGAATATATGCCAAAATTTTATCAAGCCGGTTACTATGAGCTTAGATTTTGCATTTTCATGTTCCTTTATTATGAAAAATTTTAATTTGCAAAACCTGGTAAATGTAAAAAAAAAAAAAAATTTCATAAACTTTTTTTAACCTGTAAATGCATATTTTGTGAAATTTCTTTTCACAGTAACCGGCAACAAGTATTCCAGTATGCATCCCACCAGAAAGATATGTGGTGATAACCACCATTTCTCAATGACAGATTCATTGAGTAGATTCCATGCAAAGCTATATTTTGCTTCCTTCCGGGGGTATAGAACCTCACAAAATTGGTTCACAGGGCTGAAACTTTGCATGCCCTCCTTCTATATGGCTACAAACGCCACCTGCAAATTTCACACTGATGGAGTGAGCGGTTCAAAAGTAGACATGTCCAGGTAGTGTCCCCCCTTAAAGTATGTGTCCAATCTTTCCTTCTCAGCTACTTCGAGTGTCAGCAATCTCAGAGGTCGCAATTCTCGGCACTCGGTTGACTGAGAACGTCGGAGGTCGTAGTTCGGTCGTTCTTCCGAACTGTTGTGCCACCCGTCTACCCGTCGGATGTCCTGTTGGATGTTCCGTCGTACATGTGCTTGGCATTTTGCTCTTTTACGCCTCTGGTCTCGTAGGATCCCCCAGAAACTGAAAAAGGATGGCAATACCGTGCAACAAGCCTACCGTAAAATCATGTACTATAAGGACAAATTGGCAATTGCCCATCCCCGTTATTTTGGCTGAATGCCCATCACATAAAAGTTCCAAAACATCGCCCAGCGGATATGCAGTCGGATATCCGCAATGTCTGATGCCCGTGACAAGCGCGATGCGAGCAGACGGTGACACCGCGGCGCACAGGTCTGTCACTTTGACGTGTGCTCTCGTGCAGCTTCGGCATGTCGGCTGGTCGGGGCAGGTCGGGGAAACACTAAAGACGACTCTCGTCTTCGAGGTGGCATCGATTGAGCGCAATGTGAAAGAGAGTCATTATGAGGGCGGGTTGCGCATTTGGCTTTGTCCAAGAAAACCTAAAAAACGCTACACAAAAAATAAAAGAACTAGCATATCTTGCCTATGTAAGGTCACTTCTAGGTTATGCATGCACTGTGAGGGACCCTTCCAAAAAAAATTGCACCGATGGCTTGGAAAAAATACAAAATCGTGCCGCACGCTTCGTCCTGAGCCAGTACGACCGATTTTCTAGTGTAACTAACATGAAACAATCACTAGGATGGTCGTCATTGGATCCTCGGAGAAAAAATTTACGGTTGAAATTTTTATACAACATTTATCATGAAGCTACTGGTAGTAAATAGCTCAGCATACCTCTTAAAACCAAGTTATTTTTCCAAACGTAATGATCATGTGCACAAGATACGCGAATACTGTACAAGAACGGAGTTCTGGAAAAATTTGTTTTTTTTGTGAGGACGGTCAAGGACTGGAACGCTTTACAGGAATGTATAGTTTGTGCTGCAAATTCTGAGACATTCCTTTCGCTGTTATTCGCTCCCGCAATAATGCCTTCTATGCGCTGCAGGAGTACTCTGAATAAAAAATAAAGAGACGTGCAAACCTTGCAGAGCAGATAGGCTCCCGACAGCATCATGCTGAAGATCTTAGTGGAGCCCGTGTAGGACTCGGAGAAGTAGTAGAGCCAGTGCTGCATGGGCACCACCGAGCGGTACACCTGTGACGACGTCTCCACGAACAGGTAGTACTTTCCCTGCGAGGACGAGGATGCTTATTGATGAACGGAGCTGCAGAATGGAACTGGGTTATGGGCTGCCCATACTTAAAATCATTTTAGTCAATTTAATCGAATTTGCGCGACTTTCGTTTAGCTCGTTTCTTCGGGATGGCTTTTAGAACAAAAAAAGGCTCGAGGTACACCTAAGCACTTCTTATGAGTTGTGAATGCGAAAGCATGTACATCATTCTTCTGCTCCCTTATTTCGTCTGCAGCATATTTGCGTCGACAGCGTCAACGGACACGCAGCGCCATGGGGTGGCCGGACATTGAAACTGATGCAAGTTGATGGCTTTCGGATTCGGTCCCATTGGCTCGCATGCGTCGACAAGGCTCCCATTTGCCGGACACGCAGCGCCATGGGGTGGCCGGTCATTGAAACTAAAAGTAAGAAGCTCGCGCTGGAGGCGCGAGCTTCTTACTTCGACGTCTCGTGCACTTTGTGTACCTCGAACACGCGCGGAGACAAAGCACGACAGAACGCACCAAGCACGTCTTGGACGCCAGGCATTTGAAAGACACATCCCGCCCTACTCATTCCTAGGCGACCACAGTTGATTCCTGCTCAGTTAATGTGGGCAGCTGAGCCACTGAGGGGGAAACACCGAGAGCCCCCAGACTCACCCGCCTGGGAAAGCAAGAGAGGAACCCTGGCAGGGCAACGATGAGGGCTTTCACCAGGATGGTAATGAGCTTGAGAACAAAGTCGGTCACCACCACGATCCACACCACCTCCATGCCCCCGATCGGGTGCGAGTAAGGCGGCACCAAGATGAGCCTGCAAACAAACCGCCAGAATTGGGAGCACCCCGGACGGCCCGCACAACAACCCCACAGAGTGGGAATGAACCGGTCTTGTCAAGCTGAGTTATTGGAACTAGCAATAACTCTGACAAGAAACCGCTTCGCCACAAGTTTATTTAGAGATAAGATATTGGTGGACCGTCTCGCGAGCCGTACCTAACTATATTGGAATGTTATGAATTGCTAGAAAAACTTTCCAACCTTTCCACTCTGGTGAAGACAAAAGACCAGCGAAGCTGTAGTATGGTAAGACAACCTCAAGGACGACGTCTAAAGACAATGTCTAGGACGACCTCAAGGATTTCTAAGATGACCTCGAGGACGATGCCTAGAGGACGGCCTCAAGGAAGACGCCTACGACGACCTCAGGGACGGCGTCTAGGACGACCTCAAGGACGACTTCTAGGACGATTTCAAAGACAACGTCTAGGACGACATCAAGGACAACTTCTGGGACGACCTCAAGGACGACGTCTAGGACAACCTCAAGAATGACCTTTAGGACGACCTAGAGGACATCAAGGATAACCTCAAAAACAACGTCTATGACGACTTCAAGGACAACTTCTAGGACGACCTCAAAAACAACCTCTCGGACAACCTCAAGGACGACGTTTAGGATGACCTCTAGGATGACATCTAGGACGCCTAGAAAAATTCAGCCTTTCCGTTCTGGGGAAAACCAGAGTGGTAAAACCGGAAAGGATGTCACCATCTATGAGCAAGGCCGGCAAGTAGATTGTCTGGTTGCCGCCGTAGCTCATAGATGGTGATAGCTGTCCAGAGTTTTGTGTCGACATTTCTTTGGCGGGGGACACAATCCTCCTGAGGAAACTAGCCCTTAACAGCTCCGCTGTAAAAATGTTTTCTGACTGCATGGTGATTCGGGAGTATTAATCTTCCCTTAACAGATCTACGTGGGTAAGCCTACAAAATGCAATCCTACCTCCATTTCACCCTGCAGGGCAATTCTCATCTTTACTTATTTGTATCAACCTTTGCAATCTAGATCCTCTTACAGCTTGTACATCCTCTCCGTTTCTCACCACACTGGATGCCTGCCGAAGTTCGGCTCCCGGGCCACAGTTTCGGCAGGGTTCAAAGACGGTCAGACCCAAGCATTGGTTCGGCTCCTTACGAACACTGCCCCAACACGGAAACGAGGGTCCACTCACGCGTAGGCCAGTCCCTTGTCCGCCAGCACGAAGTAGACGAAGCATATGCAAGTGACCAGGTTGGTGGCCACAATGAACAGGCCGCTGAACTGCCGCTTCCCCTGCGTTGTCCAACGGGACGAGGGTGAGTGACCTGTGTGGCCGGCACATAGGCGGCCAGCATTTGGACGTACGGTCCCGTACGAAGAAGACGTGAACGATGTAACGACAGCCTTTTGCCCTCGTCGCGCCTCTCAACGGTTGTTGGCGAAAGCACTTGTGCGTGCACAGCTCGCGTCGCTTTCCGTTAAAAGTGGCCGAGTGCCGCTGAAGTGGAAACTGCTTGTAACACTGCACAATAAAATTTTTTTTTTTTACAATAAAATTGCTGATTGCATTTAAAGAAAGAATTGCAATTTCCAGTCCATAGCTAATACTGTGTGCCTTCGTTAGCAGAATACTGCACGTCTCCATTGGCAGAGGCAAGCAAAAATCAACTTCTCCCGGTGAGCACTGAATAAAGAAATGGTTTGAGTACTATGTTTTTTTCCTTTTTTTTAAAATTCGAGGTATGCTTAATTTGAAGTGTTTTGCTGTCCCTGTGAGGTTTGAATCATTGAGAGTCGGCCATACATAGCACCGAAGGGCAAATGGGATTCGTGCCAAGTTTTGTTTCAGTGTTCCACCACATTCGGAGCTAACTGCCAAGCATTCACCGAGCTGACAATGTACTGCAAGTATTTCAAATGCCCGGTGATGATACATTCAAAAGAATACAATCATCCTTAGATCAATATTACCGTAATGTAACGGTTCACATAGTAGTTTGAATCGTAGCCAAAAAAATTAGTGGCCCTGGCCCCAAATTTGAATTGAAAACAATTTCGTTATCAGTCCTCGTTTTCCGGTTTTTCTTGCCTAAAAAAACAACAAAACCTTTTGCCAGTTCTTTCCTATTGAGTGAATCGTCACGCAACAATAATATTGATTGAAGGCTCATATTCTTTTTTAAATGTTTCATCGCCGGACGAAAACATGTGCAAAGAAACTGAAATCAAAGATACCTGTTTGCCAACTTCTCTTTTGATGACCGAGTTGGCATGACAGAATGTAATGAAGAGGCCCAAGATCCCCAGCAGCCCTGGAAAAAGATAGCTGGGATTAGGCCATGGTATCTCTAAACATCAAGAATGAAGACAATGAGCAAACAGAGCACTTAATAGAGCCATCTATTTGCCTGACTAATGTCAACATGAATAGCATTCAGAAAATACAAAGGCCCATGGCGTGAGTACCATCCTAACACACATAGCCGATTCACACAACGGACCGAATCGTGATTTTCGTCCACGGACCTTGTACCACGTGACCGTCACGTCACCAATTCCTGCGATCCACGCCTTGTCCGCGAACTGATAAAATCGCGCTCCTTTCACTTGCAAATTTTTTTACGGGAGATTGACTTGAAAAGCGAAAAGCATTTAGTCTTGCAATGATACAATGTTTTTTGTTTTTTTTTATGATTAAAATAAAAATGGCGCATTTTTGTGTCCTGTGCACTAGCTGGTCCATTTTGTTGTGCAATTCTTGGTTCCACGCATGAAAGAAACTGCAGAAAATTTGCTCGGCTAACATGACGCAATTTCCGGTGCTTCTCCGGGTCTGTGTCAAGAAGTTTCTGTCAAAGCTTGTCTAGCATGCCGCAAAAATTCATGCACGTCCAATCAGCCTTTCACTGAGCAAGACTTTTCTTGTGGCTTTGGTGTATCTAAGTGTTGTGCATGACCACGGAGTGCGCGAAAGCATCTCCAAGTACCTTTCCACGAGCCCAGAACTTCGTTGCTTCTACGCCGAAGCCTTATCGAGCAGGACCATCGCCTGTGTCACTGTCATGCCTTGGGTTAGTAAAGCTAGTGGCGCTTCGCACGAAGCCTATCACAGTATTCAGTCTCAATCTGTACATAACAGCGGAATTCGATTCTTTATCACGGTAGCAAACGTCGATTTTTTTCTTGGACAATGGCGCCACGGTGCAATGTTGCAGTTTCGCGGCACTGTGAGTCGGCGGACAGGTTCGGTCTGTCCTTGCTGACGTCTCCTTGTCGTCTTCCTCGTGTGGATGAGCTTGGGAGATGGACGAATTGCGGACATGTCGTCATGTTTTCAATCCGCTTGCGGATCAGTTTGCCGTGTGAATCGGCCATTAGGGACACCATTGAGAAGAGGAATTGAGGAAGCATAACCTTATTCCTGCTCCAGTCTTACACGGTCCCACAAGACTCCGATAATTTTGCGTGATTAACGGTGCTTGCTGTTCCCTTCCATTAAAAAGCATCAATGCAAGGTGATAGAGGGAGAAAAGTGCACTCGTAACTTAAAATTAAGCAGACTATTAACAAACACCAACTCTTGCAGATAAAGTTGGTTTCCATGACAGGCAGATTTTATCAACTAGCTATTTCTATTACAGCTTTACAGTAGTGAGAGAAAAAGCAAAACAAACTGGTGATCACTTGTTCATGCTAACCATGGCTTAGTAAGTTTAAGTAAGGTTATGGCTACGACAGCCATGAAAGACCCGCAAGTTCTGCAGAACGGTTTGGCGAATTGCACGTACCGATGCGGTGGTCGAAGGACAGCTTGAGCAGGAGGATAAGCACGAAGGTGAGGTACTTGTCCACGAAGTCCAGCAGGGCCCGCACCTCAGGGCTGGAGTTCCAGCGGTCCTCCGTCTCTGTGCCCGTCTCGTGGGCGCCCCCGGGGGGGCCAGGGGGCCCCCTTGAGGCCAGCCCCAGGTCTGACTCCAAGGGCGGGGGGCGCAGGTTCTCTAGTGGCGGCGTCGGGGACCCCACGTCTGCCTCCATGTCGATCACGTAGGCCCCCGAAGAGACCCCTCCGCCTGCTGGCCCCCGGCCCTGAAGGGGTGCTGCATGCCCAGCCCCAACCAAAATCATTTTTGCGACCCATTCTTTTTTTTTTTTTACAATCTATGCTTTGTTTTATTGTGACATGGCATAGCGAAAGCTACGTTCCCTTCGAGCCAATCTACGTCACGACCCTTACAAAAGTACAGGGGCAAGAATGTAACCCAAGCAGTTGAAGAAAGGGGGAAGGAGGAACCCTCTTTTGTGAATCACAGATGTCGCTTTTTCTGCCTCTACGAGACTAGCCCGTGGCTCAAAATTCGTACAATGGTTCTTCTTATTTTCTCCCGCCCGTGGCTTTGACAGCACTACGGCAAATAGTGAAACAGAGTATGGTCATGTGTCTCCCTCTGACGCACTGAGTGGTCCTGGGACCATAGCCTTCGCCAAGTTACAGTGAGACCATTCCTGAAATTCCATGCTATCTAAGGTCACCAGAGTCAACTCGTTATAATTAGAAGCTCACAGGGACAGCAAAACAAATTAAATTAAACATACTTCAAATAAAAAAAAACAAAAAAACTCAAGATTTTACATTTTTATTTTTATATTCAATACTCACTGGGAGAAGTTGATTTTTGCTTGCCTCCGCTAACGGAGATGCAAAGTATTCCGGTAAGGAGGATGTGCAGTATCAGCTATGCTGTGGAAATTGCATACCTTTCTTAGGGCCTTTTAGCAGTTTATTCACCAAAGAAAACGCAAAACTGTATTCTGTGGTGTCAGAAGCAGTTTCTGCGATAGCGGCACTCAGCAAGAGAAACCATGTGATTGTTCCTGGCCTAGCCACCTGCACGATGCCACTGCCCAAAAGCGGACGACAGATTACAGCCTGTTTGTTGATATCGATGTATTCGATGGAGAAAACATCTCGAAACTGGGTAGTGCCTCGAGCCGAGCTGTATTGGCTTCACGCACCCCGCTACTGCACTCGCTTTTGTAATTTCCGTGGGAACGACGCCATGATGCATGCGCCCGCAGCCATGCTGGCCTGGCTTGGCGTGTCTTGGCTGCTTGAATGGCTTCGCCGCCTGGCAGCTTCCCTCTTTTTCCCACCACGCACACAATAGAGAGAGAGAGATTTTGGGGGTTTATGGCGCAATAGCTACGAGGCCATTTGCGCCAAACAAATTTTAGGCTTCATTGTACTATAAAGTGGGTTTTACAAACGGATAACCAAGAAGCTAAAATCGGTGTAAAAGGCCAACACTACCAAGAAATTCTATTACTCGTTCAAAAGAGACCAGAGGATTCTCGCCCAGAAGAAGAGCAGGATGAAATGGGATATGATATTGAAAAAATTCAGGGAAATGAATGCGGCGCTTGGGCTCAAGGCTGGGGCACAACCACAAGATATGCAAAACAGTGAGCCTATCACCACACTGATCGCAGACTGGTGGATCTTCTCCCGAAAGCAGATACCTATGGGTTATAAATGAGCGTCCGATTCTCAAACGGCACAACAACGTTTCATGAAGTCGGCTGTTGCATGAAGAGCTTTCCCAAACTCCCAAAGCCGGTTTGGTAACATGAAGCTTGTTATCGCACTCCATGTCCCATTCCAATTGCCAAGAATGATGAATCAAGGACTTCACCAAGGGCTTAATATCTTGATAGGGTAAACACGACAGAGATTGTGGAAGATTACCGGCAGACCCTGCAAGCCTGTCGGCTTCTTCATTGCCTTGTATGCCAATGTGACTGGGTACCCAACAAAATTTTATATTTTGACCTCCATGCAAAGCAGAGTTAAGTTTATATCGAATCTGTTGTACAAGCATATTTTTAGTATCTTTAAGAGAGCAAACTGCAAGAATCACACTTTGAGAGTCAATAAACAGGACCGCCCTCAGTATTTTCCTATTGATAATGCATTCGATCGCCATTGATACCGCATAGAGTTCCGCAGTAAAAATGCTGGCAACACAATCAAGTCGTTGAACCTTGGAGAAGCTTTCAGAATACACAGCGCAACCGACAAAAGAGGAGGTTTTGGCACCATCAGTATAAACATGAAGATAACCGTCATACTTAGTTTGCAGTTCACCAAACTCTTGCTTAATTACAGCATGGGAAATGCCATGCTGTAATGTTTTCCCCATAGAATCGTATGTGTAATTTCTGGGACCGCACCCTTCCTTCGAACTAACTGAAAATTCGAATAAAGTGACTTTGAACTGCCAAGAGTAGACTGTAACAGGATAAGAGCAGCAGGAAGGTCTTTCAGTAGTCATGCGTCCAGTGCAAGCTTTCAAACTTTGATAACACTTCAACATCTCGTAAACTCAGTGTGTGCCTGCCCTGCTGACAGACACGCGAGGCAACGGGCGCGTGCTGCGTGCATTCGGGAGAGATGCCCTGTGCTCCCATTTTGGCTCACCTACCACCATTCTAATGATGGTAATGAAAAGGCACTATTTAATGGGACACCAAAGCACAGCAGGCAAGGAAGTGATTTTTACCGTACAATCCTTTATAGATTAGTCTTAATTTCAAAGGAATCAAATTTGGGGGTTTTACGTGCCAAACCTACGACGGGTATCTGGCACGCCCCAGCGGAGGACTGAGGATTAATTTCGACCACCTAGGGATCTTTTGACGTGCAACCGAAAGCTCGGTTACACGGCGCCTTTTCCGCAATAAGCCTCCGTCATATTGCGGACACCTCAGCTGGGATTCGAACCCGCCACCTGGGGATCCGTGGGCCGGTGCTCTGGCCTCGGAGCCACCGAGGCGGCTTTAATTAATTTCAAAGGAGACAACAACCAAAGAAAAGAAAGAAAACAGTTTGTGCGAAGCATTCTTTCACTTTAGCCTTTAACATAATTAATTGCCATAACGGGTACGAAAGGGCGCTGAGTGCGTGCCGACAGGTTAAACCCGTGCCTACTAATAGAGTGCCAGTCGCTATTAGGGACCATAAAGCCCGACTACGGGTGCGGTTCGTGTCTTGGTTTTGGCACTTCTTTGGCGCGCTTTCTGGCAGATGGCAAAACCACCCCTGTTGCTCCATTTATCTTGGGTTGTTTGCTCATATGTTTTCCTGTTTGATGGGGAGAGAATGCTCCATTTAGCCGAGGAAAGAGAAACAGCCGCTTGGAAGCGTTCCCGCTAAAAAAATGAGGCTTTGGTGCGGGGCTCCACCTTAACCGATAAAGAGATACAAAACCTTCCTTTTTGAAAGGAATTAATGCTCGGGCATTTATGACGACAAATTTTTTCGGCCCTTCCGACTTTTAAGAATCGGACAGTCGTTTCATGGGCAGTGACAGGAGGGGTGAAAACAATGCGAATTCTGCAAGCATTCCATGAACATTGGCGTCTGCACATCACAGGGACATGCATGAAGTGAACGCTAACGCAGCACCTGAATTAAACTAATGCACCGCGTCACGCTAACGTGTTAAGTGTACGGGACTCGTCTCATCTGCTCGGGTTCACACCTCTTAGCTTCTTTCTTCATCGACCACCAGGATGCCACCATTGATATGGCATAGATGCCATGCACTCATAGATGATATTGATCACCAGACTGAATTTCGGGAAGGGTCTATTGTCGGACGAATGCTTCTTAACAAATTACAGCGAGCGAAAGCATTCACACCAAACACTTGCGCAAAAAGTCTGAGAGGAAGAAGACTCTTAGCCAGGTTGAATTAACCTGAGACTGAAATAGACTCTTAGATATGTTGGCTACAAGCAAGATTGTCCCGTGCCCATAACCCCCTCTCCCCCTACTACGCTCGAGAGTACTCATTCAATCGGCTGGCCGACAGTCTAATCGGTGACCGAAGCAAGGAATCATCCGTGTGGATTCAAGCTTCATTAGTGCCACCGTGCATTCCCCAGGTACACACTTCGACCACAGAAATAATCAGTGTCGAAGCAAACCCAAACCGAAAACCAGATCAAAGCCGTTATTTTTGAGCAAATTGGAACAAAACTGAAGCTGAATGTCTGATACTGAACCAGAACCTAGACCAAGCCACAATCCCACATGACAGTTACCAGTTCACTGGCAAACAGTTCAGCGATAAGTTGGGGAAACTTTGTCCGTAAAGGGGGAAAGTGTTTTAGACTCTACTTCAAAGTGCAACCAGCACTGCACATTTATACAGAGTGCATGGCACACATGATAACCTAGCGCAGTTCACATTGGATAAGCACAATATCCACATTTTTTTGTGTTAGGCACAGAGACATTAGACCCCATCTTCGCGCCAGGAAAGTAACAATTTCGGTGCCCGACAAAAGCCGCAGGATGTGCATGGATGCCAATGATAAATCGTGGAGTTAAGGACTGGTTCATGGTTAGTAAAACTCGTAACCGAACCGATATTTAACGTGCTCGCTTAGATGGAAACAGAACCGAAAGAAACTACAAAGCTGCTGAACACCAGGAAATAGCCTTTGGCATCCTATTCACCCTATACACAATTTGCACTCGCGCCACTTGTGTGGACACAATGGGGGAAAGGACACTTGAGAGCATAGCTTCCACGCATCAACGAGGCACTTCTGTCACCGAGAAAGAGGGGTGGACTGACGCCACGCGCAAGCCCCGTATGACCCCTAGTAACAGGGCCGGCGTTAGGCATGGGCAACAGGAGTGGCTGTGCCGGGCGCCGCGCTGGCATTAGGGCCTCGCAGCCGTGGAAGGGGGCCCCGTGGTCCCCCCAGCCAATTAAAAAATAAACCTTATTTTTATGCATCTGTCACGGCATCTGTAGCGAACGCCTTTACATATTGTCTCAACCTCACTTCACAAATGGAATCTACGTACTGCTAGGCAGCTTCTTTGATCTGTGGCCGATTCCACGAAGACATTTGAGAGGATTTTTCTTTCCTTTACATTTTGGCACTCCAGAAACTAAAAAGAAATCACATTATTGAAAAGCCTGAGAATCTCAAAACATGCTTAATGCACGTCGGTAGCTCGATGTGGCACTGATCTTGTGGAAGAGCTTCATCTTCTGTCGTTCATTCTAGAAAAAGGCTCGTCAGAACAGTCTGAAGTATGCGCTCAGAGCGAGGCACTTTGAAGCTCTTACCGAAACACAGCTATCAATTTTCAAATTTCGTTTAAAGTACCGTTGTCGGTTGCGACCGCAGAGCAGAGTTTCTCCACACTGAAACTCATTAGGAATTTTCTTCGCTTAACGACGAAGCAAGAACGGCTCTCAGCCTTGGCCATGCTTTTGATAAAGCAGGAGATTCTATCGACGACCGACAACAGCAGCATCATTAAGATGGCCAGTGCCAGAAAAGTGCAAAACATTGCGTTTTAAGATGGGGTGCACACGGCCTGCAACTTGGGTCCTACTCGTCTACCACCCTACAAGCCACGCCCAGTTTGTAACGGAGTTGAGAAAAATTGGTTGGAATCAAAATTAAATCTGCATGGCAATTCTGAGCAAGGCATGCCACATTATTGTGTCGTAGTTGCAGTGCAGGCTCAAACATTTTTGGCCTTTTCAATCGCCGAGCTTGCTCCCTAAACATTATCAATTAGATTATTGCACCGTGAGGCGAAGTATACGCGCATCTACTTCCCCTCAGCGAAGCAGACGTTCAGAGTGCACTGTCCTTGAAGTGTACGCTGTTGTCTCCCTTATACAGTTGACACACCATATTACCTTTCATACTACACTCCAGCCCATTTGGTGCTTCGGGTATTTCTCGTTCGTGCGCATATTCACAGAATGCCCCTGTGGCATTTGAGAAAATATGCTCCTTTTAGATTTCTAGTTTTTACATTAGAACTATATGTGCACATATATAACAGACGCATAATTGAAATTATCTTGAACATAATTTACTTTCTACCTCTTCTCCACATTTTTTTCTTATTTAGATTTTTTCCACTCAGGGCCCCGCGTTACCTAACGCCGGCACTGCCAGCGACCAGACATATTGAGCCTTGTGCAGAACGCTCACCCGCAGAAGGTCCAGCGGCGTTGCCACCGGGGTCGCCGGGCGGTCGCAGGTCTTCACCGGACCTCTGGTTCTGGAGCCAGGAAGGGGCCATGTGGCTTCGGATGGTGGAGCGGTCAATCAGCGGGCTCAGCCCCATGATGACCTGGGAGGGCACGGGGGCCAGGCAAAGAGGTCATTTAATAATCTAAAGGAAAGGGTCCTACGCATTTTAGCCGTTTCAGAACGGCGGGGCCCAGACGCAAACGTCGGTGGTCCCAGTCGGTGGTCCTAAACGGCCTATGCCGCTGGTGACGTTTTATAATGTATGCAAAGAAGCAGCAAACCATCACCCGTGAGGCCTGTACCTAGCTCTTTTCTAGCTTGCTTTGCAGGTAAACGCTGGCATCGCGCATTGTCTAAAAATATATATATAGTTGACAAGCACTCAAACTACTTCAACTCACTGCAGCAAAACGAAAGCGCCTGACCTACCGTCTGCCTTCTTTCTCCGTTTTTCAGTCGCTTCGCTCTCTTTCATTCGGGATCGCACATGACGGCGCTTAAGATTTGCCACGTTCTGCACTTGTCCCTACCACACTGGTACCAGAGGTCCGATTTTGGACCCGTGAGAGTGAGATCTAACTTGACTTTCACTGATTGAGCAAAGATAAAGTCAGAAGATGGTTCCTCTAATGATAGGAGCAAAGAATGGTGCTTGTCTGCAATCAGGAATGGGCAGTATTTCAAATACAAGTATTTGAAATACGTATTTCAAATACGTTCTGTATTTTGCATTTGTATTTAATTACGAATTGGGTAATGCATTTGACGTGTGTATTTATATACTAAAACGGGGGTATTTCAAATACAATTGTAATTAAACACAATTTTGTGGGCGTAAATACATCCCTGAAATTTATTGTGACTGTCCAGAGCAGGACAAAAACTACGTTCTGCACCGAATGCAGTCTCTTAGTCAAGCACAAGCGTTTAGTGACTTTGTGATTACGGTGCTAGTCCAGGGCAAGAATAGTGACGACATCGACGTTCACAGGCAGACTGGCTAAATAAGTGCCTGTGACAACTCGTGATGCTTTCCAGCCTAATTTCCATCCATATTTTTGCCTGGAACATTCTAAATGAGTGGGTCATCCATATTTTTGTAACTGGTGCGAGTTGCAACAATAAAAACATTCTCTAGCTAGTGCTGCGCGTCTTGGTTGTCTCGGTTCTTTGTTGGTCTATACCAAAATGTAATCGACAAAAAAAACTGCTTGAAGCTCTTACTTTTTTTCACCTATTACGTCCAAGCTGATTACATTTTTTTTTGTGATTATATTTTTATTACGTTACTAGAGCCTCGCACACTAACTCCCGAGTGTGCGATGCAAAATTAAAATGAGATAGCCAGAAACCCGTTGCAGGTGCCCTGAAATCGCTTGCGCAAATTTTGAGGAATGTATTTGGGAAAGTATTTGGAAGAGACCAAATACATTTGGTTGTATTTGTATCTTGTACTTAAATGCTTTTTTGGAAATGTAATCAGATTTGTAATTAAATACATTTTTGACGAAGTATTTTGTATTTGTATTTCGATACATATTTGCATGTATTTTGCCCATCCCTGTCTGCAATAAAAAGTCATTTTCGGACGAAAATAAAACAAAAAGACTCCATCTGCTAACAAAACCGAAAAAAAGGTGGTTCTCTGCCACAAATTGGGTGTCGTGGAGAGGTGATATCGGATGCACCCAGAAATCGTGACACTGTGCTATTTCACGAAGGAAGCAATGGAGAACCCATGCCTCCTTTGCAAACCTCAAGTTGTTCTGCTGCTGTACACAGGTAGGAATCCATCAACAGATAAAAGAGCATTCAGAGCAAGCCCATCAGAGGCCGCGGGACCTTTTGTCGACATCCACGTGTTGGCGAGAAGTTTTCACCAAAATACCGCACAACTGTGGGCTCACAAATGGGTCAAAAACTGCTCACTGGTTCATATTGGTCACCCAGCATAAAGCTATAAAGGCATGTTTAACCAGTAGCTGAGAAAGTTCTTGCACTCACCCAGGATCAAAATCGGATCACCGGAAGTTTGGACACGTCTCTTAGCACATACAATCCTCAAAGAGAGAGCCGTCCGTATTAATCCCACAGGAAAGTCCCTAGAATTTATAAACGACCCTAGGGGCATACCCTCTTCCCAAGGATATATATTAAAAAAAAATGACATATGCACCTCTTACATGCGAATATCATTCCTTGTCTCGCTCATTCTTTTTATTTTTAAATGGCTCTAGCAAGGAGCATCCAAAAATCCCCATTCTTTCAACATGCATTATTCACAAAAATTGGGAAGATCCGCGAATGGCCCTGTTGTGCAGATAAGACTTGATTTCTCAATTGTTAATCCGAACAAGAAATTCTCCCCTTTGGCTGGGCGCATATAGCCCTTCAAGATAGAATGCAATCACACTTGGAGGGGCACCAAAAACAGCTTCTGAGATCATTGTTTTATGGCGCAAACTAAATCTATGTGCTTGAAGCATTCTAAAAGCCGAGGTTACAATCGTGCCTTGCCCGTTTCCCCACTAAAATGCAACCATACGTCGTGACACTCCCCTCGCTTATCAGAAACATCCGCAAAGAGCGGCGTAAAGGCCCGTTCACACTCTTGTGACCGAGTTAGACCGAGAGAGACCAGACCGGTTTTTAAGCCTCTTGTGACTTCTTAGGACCAGCTCCGCTGCAGCGGATCCGGTCCTAAGAAGTCGCAAAAGGCTTAAAAACCGGCCTGGTCTCTCTCGGTCGAGGTCGGTCGCAAGAGTGTGAACGGGCCTTAATGCAACGTTTGGTCACTCTGCCAGTAGGGGGAAAAAGCGACAGCTTATTGTAGCTATTCCAGCGCCCCGTTCAGAACGACCGCTCTCGCGGGCAGAACACGGCACTCACCTGCTGAATGTCGCTCCGCAGGTTCCTGGGGTTGGTCAAGTTGAGGGTTCTCCCGGCGCCGTAGGAGTTTGCCACCGAGGACCAACCGAAGACTCGGCGCAGGGTGCTGTGCCTGGGGCCCTCCCCGCCAGCCCCGTCTGCCATGGCCGCCTCCTCGCTGCGTACGCCAAACGGTCCGAGCGATCCTTAAGCCGCAGCCCCGCCGCTAATACGTTGCACAGAAGACGGTCTGTAGACACTGTCCGAGGCATACGCATGTACAAAGCAAACACGCTTCTAACGTGCTTGAGGCGTGTCCGCATACTTCTGTCATCGCACCTGCACTGCATCTTTTGTACGAGGTATGCATCCGGAAGCTTCCTACCTCCATGGCTCAGAGCTTCTAGGAAAGAGTATAAATAGGCTTCTGTGTTTTCGCGATTAATTTCCTCCGAAAAGGGGAATGTTTTTTGGGGATCTTTTCCTTCCCCAGGGATTCGGTGTTTCTCGACATCCATATTCGGCGTGGAACAATCTGTTTTGTTACGCTTCGTCGGTGGCTAAATATAAGCCACCAATAAAGTGTAATAAAGCAGATGTGGCAAAGAGGGACAAGGACACGTAAAAGAAGCAGACAGGAAAACCGCTGCCTATTCGTAACTCCAACGCCCCATAGATGCCAGGGCGGTAGTTGCAAGATGGCGAAAAAAGATTGGGATGGATTTTCCTAAATTTTTTGTGCGCCCTCTTGCTGACGTCGGTCAGTGTGCTTCAATTATTTTTGTCTACAAATGCAAAGCGGTTGGGGTGGGAGCATACCACGTGCGACGGAGATGTTGACGTGCAGTGGGAAGACGAGAGTGTGGACTTCTAGAAGTTGTGGAAACCTCGTAGATCTTGCATAGCTTTGTGGAGGGCGAGTGCGTTTTGGGCGCCAGCCATGCCATTATGTATGGCCAGAATTTTTTCGAGAGTGATGAAGATATTGTGGTGTTTGCGCTGTGCCTGGCCACCAGTGCCATAAAAAGTGAGTCGTGAGGGTGACCTTCAGGTACAACGTTTTAGATTAGAGCCAGTTTTGCTCCAATATATACATCTTCAATGCATATATCAAGAATTTGCAATAAATTAGATTTACTTCTGAATGCATCAGTGAGTGTATTCAGAGATTCATTATTAGAGTATTCATTATACTATCAGTTTTAAAAATATTACCAAATGTGAAAATACTCTGAGAAAGCAATGGCAAACTTGTGGATAACAATCAAAACAAGAAAGCAAAAGTACATTTTTTTTTTGTTGCATCCCTAATATGAATTATATATAAAGAACGTACCTCAGGCAACCTTTTTTCCTGGTTATCGGTTTTTATACAAGAATTTTAAAAAGGGTTCCAATAACCCCTGTCTCATCGTCTTTCAGGAGGCAAAAAAAAATTTTATGAGTCAATTACTAAAATATAAATTCCTACAATGTCCATCTTTGTCACTTTGCATGCCGCGCAAATGTAAAAAAATAAATAAAGAAAAACAAAAGATCTAAACATTATCAGAATGACACATAAGAAAGAAAAAAAGCAACAAATCAAACAGGTTCAAAGTAATTCCTAGCCGCGGTATGGAATGCGGAGCGACCACATATTTCTGGAACGCACGGCCTGATAACTGAATGCTTACGCCAGCCCGTACAGTTCTCACAAAGGTTCTTGCACCTGCTCTCAAGTAATCTGCTTTTCACAACTTCCATAGCGAACACAGCATTAGAGGGGTCGTGAAATGAAAATGAACTGCCCCAGCTTTAACATTCCCTGCCTGTCTACGTAGCACTTGCGGTTGCCATGAGGGTATTTCACTTTTAAGGTGGAAAGTGTGAAGAGCCCTCAAGCAGGCATAATCATGTACCCTATTTTCCGGACTACACACATTTACAAGTTAAAATTTTACATGGTGCAGACTATAGAAGGATTTTTTTTTCTAGATCAGGGGTCTCAAAATTATTTGAGTGTGATGGCAGAGACCCTGGCCTCAAAGAATTTACGGACAACCTAAGGCAAGGCCGGACTAAATTTTTAATATTAAAAAAAAAAAAGACAAAAAAAAGACAACAATTGTGTTTTACATTGCAAAGCAGAGACACCATGGTCTCTGCTTTCTGTAAATTTGCCAGTTTGCCAGCATGACATCTTTAGCTTTCATTTGCTTATACAACTCCTTGGGGCCACATCCGACGTAATAACAAGATTTGACACACCACCGCTCTGGCATTTTTCAACAGAATGAGAGCAAGCACACTGTCGTTGCCCTGTTGTACAAATCACATAGGAACAGGAATGGAAAAATATATCTCTTAATACGACAATTTTAGCTTTCTCGGCAAATTTTTATAGCAGCATTATAAGAAAATACTTCAATTTTAAAGGGACAATGACACCCTCTAAATTTTTTTTTTTTGCCAGGCAATTCATTATTGTGTAAGAAGACTACACAATCAATATTTTCCTACAGCGTCACATATATTTTAATAAAGTAAAAAAATGCAACTGATCGAAACCGAAACTGGACTGGGGAGGAAGAAGAAATCTAGAGGAGAGGGGAGAGTTGGCAGAAGTCACGTGGCTGTGCAACTATTTTTTTTCTTCAATCAACATATTTGCGGCTTTATAGAAGCCACGAAAAAATGGGTATCGTATTTCTTTTCTATTTTTTAATATTGAGTGTGTGTATTCAATGACCCATGACTTTGATTATATTTGGTGGTTGTGCGTAAAACAGAAAACGGCACGTGGCCCTGGAGAAGAGAGTGCGTTATTCCAACCGGCCAGTCCTCGCTCAACAATTTTTGGACAAAAAAAAAAAAAAAAAAAAGAAAAAAATTTCAAGCCGCAAATTTTGTTCTGGGTAGTTGGGCTCTCATATGTCATGTACAAATAGAAACCTTGGCAAGCATCAATACCCTGTCAGTGTCCCTTTAAGGGCATTTTCTGATGACGAGAAGCAAGAGCTCATAACAGCTTTGGCAGTTGTTCCTGCCGAACGAGAGTTCTTGCAGCCGAGGTGCATCCCCGAGCACAGAGCTTGTGCTTGCAGCCTAACAGTGGTATTGTCCTTCGGGTGATTTACACGAGAAAGAGCCGAGAAGCAAATATTTAGAGGAAGCAATACTCATTCCAGAAGAAAACAGAATAGTGCAAAATATGTGAACACTTTATGTGAGCCTAGCTTCTTTTTGAGCGGAAATGAATCGACGATACAAAATTATTATTTATGACGCACGTAGTGCTCGAGGCACGGGGACTCGCAGTCACAGGATGCTTACGGGTAACATGACAAAGAGCCACAGGCCAGGTGTTTGAGACACCTGTACAGATTGTTGAATAAGCCGAGACGAGACATATTTTGTGACTTCCCGAGTATGTTAATGACAATCTATGCATGATACAAGCTTCTTAGTGAGCTAATAAAGTGGGCATTTGCCAAGATGTGCTGTGTATCAGAAATTTAATGTGCAGATTAGACACCAGGTGTGGACTATCGAGACTACCTAAGGAAAAATGTTTCTTATTCAACTGAAATTTGCCCCTGCAGATGGCGGTCTAAAACAGGTCGTGCCGTGCCAAATCTCAGCGCAACGCCCAACGCTCGGTTTCAGCAGGCAAGCATTGGACTCAAAAACAATTTGCTCAGAGTTTTATTCGCTATGTTTCAAACCTACGGTGATATATTGGCGTAAGCGAGCTTCTGGAGGCTACCCCCTCTTCGGGGAAGCAGTGGAAGGACCGCCTACTGTCCTTCGACAGTGCTGATCGACGTTGATGAACGGACAGTGTCTAGTTCAAGCACATGCAAAGGTTGTGTTCAGAGCGACCTGGGCAGCACGCTGATTTGACAGTAACGACAGTGCCACCGGGGCAACTGTTCCATCACACCGACCGCAGACATGTAATCATGGAAGCCACAAAGAGATGAGCAGAAATCGTGAAACAACCTGTTCCGTCCAGTTCAGTGTTTCCCGCAAGGTGCCGTTCGTTTTGCTGGAGTAGCGAATTAACTGTAAAATACTGCATGTTGCGTTGGAAAAAAAAATACAAACATAAAAATAACTCCGTAGGTCCATACACCTTTTTGTATCAATAGAAAAGCCAGTGTTGCTTTGGTTTTGGTTTCAAACAAGCATGTAGCGCATCTAAGGAAGGAGCTGGCAGTCCAATATTTTACTGAATGTACAGGAGGCACTTAACCTAGTTATTGTCTAAATTTTATGAGTGATGTTTGGTATCATGTTTCTCAAGCTCAAATTCCCGTACTTGACAATACAGCATCCTCTTGGTTGTCTTGCACACTGGTTGCACGACACCGCATCTTGCAGATCGGCTATTTTTTCTACGGCAAGGCATCGCTCGGATTAACCAACTTCAGTTGTGCCTTGGGGTGTTTGCCTATGTAGTCTTGAAGTGAGTGTGCCAACCTACGTTGGAATTTGCAGGAATCTGCAAAGGTGCTTGGTCAAGCATGTAAGCACGCATGGATGCCAATGCTTGTTTGCGCATGTTGATGTGGTGCATGCACATTCAAATTTGGCCTTTGTTTTTTAAACACAGAGAGATGGAGCTTGTAATGAATGTGCCAGGCCATAGCGTACAAGAGCAGTACGCTTATATCTGCTGCTGGGACTGCCATTTGCAATTTTTGTCATCAAATATTTCTGAAGCAGCATAGCAGTGCTTTGCTTGGTAGGATATGGTGCATTTTGCGGTGATGTGTATTTTAATCCTCTTGCGGTGGAGCTTTTCTTTCTTCAAAAGGCGGGCACCATTGGTCGGGTTTTGATTCCAAAGGAATAGTAGAAAAATAAATCAACATCGTTCTTTTAAATTGTATATTGAGAACATGCACTGTGCTTGCAAGTGGTCAACATTGAGAACTATAGAATGGAAATATGGAGCAGGAAAGATGTTGGCTTTCTTCCACTGGGTTTGATTTTGGCACGTCCACTTCCACGACATTACGGAAGTTTCAAGCTCCAAAGCAGAGGCATTTTACAGAGATCTTCTATCGGATAGTCAGCTCTCATCCTCTTAATTCAATTCCAAGAAGCACTGGAAGTCTGAATCTGAAGAGCCAGCGCTTCGTGGTAATTACTGCTTTGGCATTGACACGCAAAGCGTCTAATTTAGTAACT